GACAAAACGTTTTGTTTGATAATTTATTTAATTCCTAGCCCCCCCCCCATATTATTTTAGGTTATTAACAACAAATGAGATCATAAACAAGATTGGACACCCGATGTTGTGCCATTAAATAAGTTTCGCTTGTTATTGACATAAAAATAGCATCCCCCGTGTGTAACCCTAGCCACCTTCCGGTCTGCAATCTATTTCCGAGTGAACACTCGGTAAAACAATATACCCATCGTGGTAACTTTATTCCACCGCTTACGGTAATAAAATTAAAACCCGCTGAAAGTCAAACAGGACACACTAAACTTCCAAAGACATTTGCATAATAAATGTCGCTTTCTGAGTCACGAGGAGGGTCGATGAATAAGTAGGAAGATGTAAGACGAGTCATTTGAAAGTGGCCAAACACGAAAGTGTAAGGATGAAAATAGCATAAATGTTATTATAAGTGGTAAAGAAAACAAAAAAAAGATTTTACAGAGTTGAAAGTTTAAAATAGAGGTCTTCTTGCACTGTAAAATCTACTCTGTCCGTTTTGATGACACTTTTAGGACATAACACTATTAAATTCATGAAAATACTGTTTATTTCCATTTTCCCAGGAATCTCAAGTTTTATCACCTTTTTGTATCCAGCCAAACGTATAATAATAAAAATGTCTCAGGCTCGCAAATTTATAATTCGAAGGATATTAATGTAACTTATATTACAATATATCATAAAAAATTAACAAAAAATGACAATATCACAACGAATTAGTTTAACACAGTAATATACAAAAGAAATCAAAAAAAATACAGTATATATTATAGTAATGTATGTTCTAAAAATTACAGTACATAACAACGTACTACATAAACCACACTATATAATGCCAAATTATCCCCGAATGACGTTGGCACAATCATATTCGGAACAAGATTAGAAGAGCCTCCAGAAGCGAAACCAGGCCACGAGAATCGAAAACAATCCAAACCTGAAGCACGAATCTGGAGCGTCTTAATCGAATTGGAGGCTTTTAGGGCACTCCTTCCACCCCGTCCTTAAAGCAAAGACCATGACTGACTAAGCCAATTGGGAAGGTACACAGAACCCGAGCGTCTAATTGCTGGCCTCGAGTGCTTCCTGGTGAAGCCGAGGCTTCTGTTTATCAGACGGAGATTCTATTATCAGACAGATGTTCTACCCAACCAGGATTCTATTATCAGATGAGCAATCTATCAAACACGGAGTCTAACATCAGGTGAAGCTTGTATCAAAAAAGAATTCTATCGAACAAGAACCGTGTCTATCATAACAAGTAGACCTTACGCCACAGAATACCTCGGCAAACCGCTTTACGCATCACGGCCGCCTCGAGTACAAAACAAAAGTTTAATTTTGTTTTTGGTCGGGTAATCCTGGGTGTTATTAGTTGCAAAGCAACACAAAGCGCCGCCCAGTCCCACACATCCGCAGACGACTGAGAAAACAGGGTGGTACAGTAAATTTGAAATTAGGCTAGATGAATCCCTCTCCATGCAGCGGTCGAAAACAAAAGTATCCCCCCACCAATCTTTATGCACTTGTGACTTAATTTTCCTTCTATTACCTAATTACGGCGACTAAAAATACAGTAGCCAAACCGGTTCTGCTATATTCGACTGGATTCTGCTATATTAGACTAGTCTAATTGGATTTGAATCCGATTTCAATAAATTCCAAACAAAGAGCGGCCGAAGACGCTCCTGACGTCAAATTCGAGACTGCAAGCCTGTCTCTTGATGTCGGGTTTATAATGTGAACCTTGGGTTCAAATTCAAAATTCTGTGCCAAAAATTTTATTTTTAAAGTTACCACCTCTAAAAGTTGTATTTAAAAACACTACTCCTAAATAAAAAAATACTCCCAAACTTGCTCCTTGACTTCAAATTTGTAGCCTAGAGTCATCATGCTCTTATATCAATATCTAATCCCAAAGCTTCCCTAATATCAACTTCTACACACAATACTTCAAACTACTAACCTCTAACACAACTACAGAACCCACAGCTGCTTTGAGGATCTCCTCCAATCTTATAGACGTGATGTTTACTTGGCAGGAATGTCGGATTCACAGCAGGAAGCACGCTTCATAGCGTGAAACAATAGACATCACAAATCAATAAACATACGAACATAGCTGACCACGTCTGAAGACACCTTGCCTCCGGAATTAGTGGTGATGAGACAAAAAAGGTGCCTAAATGTTTGTGACAGCTTAATTCCATCTATTCAGGGGCTGTCAACACAAACAAAACCTTCAGAATTAGTTGAGAAGTCGAAGCTAAATATACATTCGACCAGTAGCTCAGCCCTCTCTAGGTATCTGGTGTACTATGAAGTGTACTGGGAATGTACTGGATAGTACACCAGCTCTGTCATCACAAGTTTAAATAGGAAACCCCCTTAATTGACATTAAACTAGTCCCGTTGGGACGACTGATTGATCTCAACTTCAGACGAAACGAAAAGCCTTCCCTTTTACAAACTTCAAAGTCCCACGAACTAAACAAAGCGCCTGAGGGCCGAACAGAGATTAGTTGATTTTGTCCCACAATACATGCAGTTATTCCCTGAGGAGCAATTAAAGAGACGGTAAATAAACAGAGTACAGTCTGTTATGTTTTCCCATTACACTACAATCGACAACAAAACTATTCTTACAATGGCTACTGCAAGGAAGTTCAAATCGTTATGGAAAGGCCATTACGGTGGTAAGGAACTATTCCAGAGTATTTTGACCGTGAATAAGCATTGAGCATTAAAAGCTAAGTGACAGTATGACATATAGTCAGCAAAAGTAAGGAACTGTGGTTAACATACACAACCAACAATAGATTACAGATTGCGATAACACCCGCACGCTGTAAATATGCTGTATGTAAATACGGTGTTATTTTAGGCAGCCTGGATGTGGCTAATTAACTGAACATTGCTTCTCTACCCAGAATTGCAACCAGTTTCTGGTAAAGTCGAGTTACTTTAACAATGCTCAAAGAAAGCGCCTTTGCTACACGTAATACGATAGCACGGTACATAGTCATTAATATAAATTAATATAAACTTACAAAATAGAGAACGAATTATGTACCGTGCCACTTTGACATGAATATCAATGGTCAAAGTAAACACGGCCCAAATTTACTTTGAAAATATTAACGTACTGAACGTATCCAATGCAAAGTAAACAGCACTGTAAACCCGCTTATTATAAGACTATTACATACTTCTAGCAATGTTTCATTGAATGTAATTCTACCTATTCACCAAACACTCTAATTAAATGCAATACATGTTGCTATTTACCACAGTAAAAAAGAAAAAGTAAAAACCTTCCAGTAAAATCAAAATACCATAGTAAAATGTAAAATCCCTCAGTAAAAATATCAAACTAAACATCAAATTGTAAAATGCCACAGTAAAACATTAATATAAACCTTAAGAAGATGATAGTAACAGTAAAAACGTTATAAACCTTGAAAAACATATCACACGTCTCTAATATGACCAGTATAACCAGGAAGTCAGCGCAAAACATATTATTGTAGACATATTTTATACCCACATGACGTATCAAATAAATACGAATATCTTGCAGCAAATTAAATTAAGATTGTATTCAAGGCTGCGATTACTTCAGAACAACATCAGAGCCTGCTTATAATTACTGTGATAACGAAAAACAAATTACATATGAACTCAAAATCTAGGTCACATGGATATTGTACTTTCCGGCTTAACGAACAAAGATTAGCCAAATTTACTCAACCTTATTAATCACATTAAAAAAACTTTTAAATTTGAGTTTTAACTTTAAAATTTTAAAAAATTATAAAAAAAACGTTTAAAAGTAAACTAGGAGAGCCAGTCCAGACTAAAGTCACTATAACAGAAATACAGTTCAGGCTAAAACCAACTAAAAGAGTAGTCTAGTCTAATCTGAAACTAACTAAAAGAGTAATCCAATCCAGACTAAAATCAAATATAAGAGCAATTCCAATGCAAATTAAAGCCATTACACACCCCAAGAATGCTCAACTAGCTCAATATTAACGTTTACTATAAAAATGATACCTAAACTCCAAGTTTTTACATTTAAACCTTAACCCAAACGTTACCTCACATCACATTTAACTACGAACAAATTGATGCAAGTTTACTAGTTCGTCCTTAAAGTTCTCGGATTATCTGCTCAAAGATCGTTCATTTGTTACCTATAGGTATACCTATTTAATAATAGCGACAAATCAAAAGGTTCGAAAAGGCAATTCAGCAGATTTTAATTTTATTCAATTAAAAAATGTCTCCAGACTTTCAAATATTTGAACAAAGTCGACTAAAAACTTGAATTTTTAGAAAAATATGTCGAAGAAAATATGAATGTGGTATGAATAACAGAAATTATTGTTTCCTTTTACAAAATATAATTTCTAAAAAGACAAACAGAAGCAGAAGGTTTGTAAAGATGTACAAAAGACAGCGAACAAAGCATGAATGTTCTGGTTTGAGAAACATAATTAATTTTCCGCCATTTCGTTTGAAAATCTAAAATAAGACTTGCCCGTTTTTGGTCCCGCAACGAACGATTGATATATTTCAATAATGATATTTTTTGTCAGTTTGATTAACATTTTCTTGTGCTTTCCTTGATGTTCCTAAATTTGGAGTGTTAATAAAATAAGCTCGGTGTTATGTTCTTATAGGTAGTACTCAAAATTTGAGCTTGTTTTATGTTATTACAAGTAACACCCAAAAATTTGAGCTTGTTGCATGTTATTATAGATAATACCCAAAAGTTAGTCATTCGTACAACTACTCGAATATGCAAATTCTGATTCTATTTGAGTAGCATGACGTCCGATCCGAAGACAATGCGGTGGGCGTCGTTACTTTGCTGATTAACTTCATTGTTCCCCGACTTCTTAAAAGCTCGGCATCCGAAGCGCGACCTTAGTTTCTCGGCTCAGCTACAGTAACCTCGAATGGCAGCCAAGTCGATAGTTCTAATTGCTCTGGCGGTGTTGTTGGTCGCGTTGGAGCTATGTCACGCGTACCCACGTGAGATCAACCTGGCCCGACGAGATAGCGACCTCGACAGTCTGGCCAGCGAGTTCAAGTTCAAGGGAGGACGAATGCGGTAGGATTACGGTAGTGTTTTAGCTGTTTTGTGGTAAAATGTTTACAATTTTTTTACTTTTATACCTATACCTTAGTTTTTATTACAATTTTAAGCTGCATTTACCCCTTTATAAGCACGATATAACATGCCCCATCACGGTAATATCCATCTACAGTAACCCTTTATACTTACCCTAACCTACAGTATTCCTTTGTAGTTTCGGAAAACGCTCGAAACCCGACAAAGTAGTGTCATTGATGGAAGACCCCATGTACTACACGGCCGACCGCTACATGTGGCTACAGTAAGCCATCAGCTACCGTAACCCCAGTCCACTTTGACTTCAGAAGCCGCGCATCCATTGAAAGACTTTGAAAACGCCGTTTTATGCAAATTTTTTTTCGAGCCAGAGTAAATAAATTCTTGTAAATTGTTTTTTATTTTCAAAATGAAAAAGGTGACACTAACTGTGACATTTGTTTGGTTGACTTTCGCGAATCCATGCTACGAACATACTGGAAATGTCAATCGGTATGACATTTTATTTGATTTTGAGTAAAACCATGCCGTTAGCAATTGGTAATAGTCATTATATTAGGTTATCAAGTAATTCTGTGCCTCTAACCTCAAACGTCTGCTTGGAAATGGGGCTCAGAATTATTTGAACAACCTAATAGTTTTTCGATCGGTGAAATAAACGTTTTTGTTTATTTTGAATTCTGTTTTAAATTAATAGGGTACTTATTTCTATCATAGATAACACATATAGTGGTAAGTCGCTATGGAGGAAGAGAAGGGGATGTAATTACTCCCGTTCCCCTCCTCAGATAAAAACTGTGGCGATGTCCCGTACATATGATACATAATTTTGTAAAATATTTTGAGAACTGCAAACATATAAAGTAACATTACGTACCGTTCTTCAGAGTACGAGTGTTTCCCTGTGAGTTTGGAACTGAGCTTATATTTGAAAATGTAAATTCATTTTTGAAAGTTGACTTGAAACTGAATCAAAAACAATGTCATGGCTTGAATATAAAGGTCGGAAAGTGTTTTCTGCGCTTTTCCAAAGACAAATCGGACGGAATCACAATCAATAATGGTATGCTTTTGTAAATTAAATTAAAAAACAAAAATTACAATTTATTACTGAATTATATATATATTGTTGTAGTCTAAAACCCTTTTCTATTTTATTAGACATTACTCGAAAACTTCTTTTCACCGAACTAGCTTCTAATAAGTTATATTATAATACCTTTTTGAACTTTCATATCAGTAAGTTATCTTTCAGCCATTAGTCTCAACCCGGACGACACTTATGGCCACCAGATAATGTTTTACTCAGGCCAGGTCTTGTACAATCGAATGCCATTTGTTTTTTGTGATCCGAGTAACGTAAATGGTACCTTCACTTTTGAGTTTCAACAATTCGAAAATTGCATCACAGAAATAACCGCGGTGAGTTAAGGTATATGTTTCGTACATAACTCTACTTTTTACCTTTGAGTTCATAATAATATAAAAGTCTGTTACCTTTTGTTTCAATGTCAAAAAAAGGCAACCATAAAACATTATTTTTCAGAATTCAGAGTACGATACCGTTATCAGAGACGTCGAACCAGAAGCAGAGCCAGACATTAAAAAGAGGCTGTCTGATTTGGATGTTTATGTTGGATTCTACTTGTTTGTAATATCTTTTGTATTCCTATGGTAAGTTATTTTTGTTTTTAAATTTTACCTTTGGTTTTAATATCAAATATAATGTGACTGATTGAAGATAAACTTACAGGATCATTGGCTTGTCTGTAGTTTCGGGCGTGGTATACGTATTATGCGACAAGATGTGCTGCAAAGAATTCGATTTGGAAACACACTTAGACGACCTTTACAGTAAACCGTACAACCAATGGTACGAAGAGGGTACTAGTACCTACTTGAATAACTGGTGATCCAGTATGCAGTATATATGATCAGGATTACTCTACCACATCATTATAATCAGCCTTAACCAGTACGAAGTTGGTATACCATTACTAATTTATTCATAACATATTCAGGTAATTAACATTATTACCTATTCCAGTAATTAATAACCGTTTATTAAAATTAAAGCTTGAATAAGTGTAACCGTACCAATACCGTCTTGTGAAATGTATCGTTAAATAGTGACATTTGTAGCAGAATAAGAAGACTTTGTAAACTTGAAAAATATAAAATCTACAGATTTTGTCATAAAAGTGACAAGTTTTGACATTTTGATAAAAAAATATAATAGCTTTTAAGGAAATTATTAGATCAAAGGTAAAAAAAGACTGACAAAATAAAATATACAAAAAATATTTAAAGACACCACTCATCCTCAATATTACGCCAACTTGTAGCTGAGAGAGTTCTGACACAATCGCAGTAAAAGCTGTGAAGCTAGCAGAGTTTCGTTCACTGCCTCCGGCTTCTCCAACGACATGGCGGAGTCGCGGAGAACGGCGCTCCACTGTTCCAGGTTGTTCGTGCCCAAAGACTTCCGGAACCGTGCTCGTCGATTCGAGAACCAAACCTGGATCTTGTTCTCGGACAGTCCAGTTTCGGCGGAGAGGCGTTCCCGTTCGTTGGCATCTGGATACGAGTTACGTTGGAATGCCTGCTCCAGACACTCCAACTGCTCCGGAGCGAACCAAGTCCGACTTCTGCGATGTGACGAGTTCTTGTGCTTCTCTGAAACCATTAAACTGTCATTGTGATGACTAAAACGCGCTTAAACGTCCTTCTCCAACCAGTAATTTGCGTGCTTACTGTAATGGCTTTTAGGGATGGTAATTAGACCAAAACTTTACACTTTTGTTGGTTTTTACGAAAATTACCGTATTAATTGTGAAATGGAATCAAAGGTAAAAAATTAAAAATTTGAATTTTGTTAAAAACGCCTAAATCCACCCTTATTGCCTATTTACCCTTTCTTTTCCATAAACTTTTCGGCCAAACCAAAAACCTCTCTTACCATGATCAGATAGGATGTTGAGGATGCTGTGCTTCAGCTGAATCCTATTTTCCTGAGCTTTGATGATTTTGGTGATAAACTGAGTAGACGGAAGTTCGTTTCGGTTACAGATTCCCTGAGTGATCAATGAACTTCGTATCTTGGCGGCCGACATCTCCGGATGATTCATGTGAACACCAATAACATGTTGTTCCACTTCTTCTGACACTTTATTCGTTTCCGAAGCGACGCTCACTTGGCCAGGAACTACGGTACCCGTTTCAGCATAACGGTAAAGGATCTTGGAGACACAACCATGAGATACACGAAGTTGGCGGCTGATATGACATGGCCTGAAAGGCATTGTTTGAGATTCAAGTTAGTAAAAATACTTTTAAAAAAATGTAAAACTGATTAAAAGTGACGTTACATTGCTTGAAAAACTTACTTGACGCCTTTGGCTGCCAACTCCACGATCTGAAGGCGTACATGGTGAGGTAAGGGACGGCCGTTAATAAACACACCTCCCAGTTGATTTACTCGGCCCTTAAAGTGTAAAACTGTAAAATCATATACCTTTAGTATCAATTTTAAAACTTTCTGACATAGTTAAAATCATGACACTTTTTAAATTCAAATAAATCAAAACTTTTGACATTTTCCAATATTAAAGTAAACAAATCTGAACAAATAACGATAAAATACGGTCGCTCATTAGAGGTATTAGAACAATAAAGGTCATCGAAAAGTTAATTAAAGACAAACAAAGTTTCCGTCTTAATAGTATTGACACAATTAGTCAACTTACTTGTCCCATGATGTTGGTGAAGGTGAGTGGAGTCAGCGACGGTGAGCTGGAGGAGGTGGACGAGTCGCTGGACTGACCGGTCGATCCATTCGAGTCCGAATCCATCATCGTACAAAAATGCCTGCAAATTCAAAACTTTTTAAAACGGCGCCTCGAAAAGGGGGCGGGACCACGCGGATTACGGTATTTTTATTTGAGAATCCGATTTCGAATTTATTTCTGGAAAACGCGGAATATTCGGAAAGCCATGTCATCCCAGGTTTACCTTAATCTACATGTGTAAACAATGCTACACATTACGACGCTTGTACTCGGAGGATCAGAGTTCGAGTCATATTATAGTAGGTACGGTAAAGAAGGTACTTTATTATAATACTACTTGTGACTAGCGTACGGTAAAAACACTGTATTTACCGTATTATCTAATAAGAAAGAAGCTTAAGACGTCACGTATAGATAGCAAAAGATATTTAACAGTTTGAAACCATTAATAATTGTACAAAACCGTGTCACAAGAGGCATACAACAACATGACAAGAGTTAAGTGCCAGCCGCCTTTCAATGAACGTGCACAATAAAACTCAAGCCTTAACAAGCTGATTAACTTATAATCAATGCTAAATCAGATATACGCCTACAGCGCCGTATTTACAAAGCTTACGTTCGCCAAAATAAAGCCTTGGTTTGAACGTTCTACAACATTCCTATTGAAAATTATAATAACCTGGTCAAAAAGTTGATAGAAAAGTCAATGAAAAAGCCACAACTTCTATCAGTAACACTGTAGTAAATGTTAGACAAAAGTGTTACCACTTTACCAAAAAATAACGTAGAAATCCCTATATTTGTACAACTTTTCTATCTATTATTAGGCCAAGCACAGTACCACCAAATACTACAAAGTCAATGAAACCATCCTTATCAACTGATTCGTAAATTGACAAGGAACATGTGATATACAACTCAAACCGCACATACCCTTCAAATAACTACAGGACAATCTTAAGATGACCTTTTTAAGTGAACACATTAAACTACTGCAATTTGAACGACGAAATCTAGTTCAAAACTCACTCCCACTGAAGTTACAACTATAAACTCGACACTTACTAAACTTTGTTCAGTACATTATACTCAGTTATTGCGTACTTATTTTTAGAGCAGACTCAATTTAAACCTCAAACTTTAAATTAGTAACGCGTTTCCATACACTTGTAGTCGTTACAATATTACACACGGCATTTGCTACGTAAAGTCTCATTACAATGTATAGTATTTTAAGTTTCACTGTTTCGGTAAGCTACAATAGACAGTATTGTAAGAGAAAGCTTTTCATTAACAGAGTTATCTTAAGTGTTACCGTATTAAATTACAAGAGAGTTGTACAAACTGACCCATGCCGATCGGAAGACCAGTTATATCATTTGAAAGAACGTCAAAAATTATTCTAGATTCAACTTTTTCTAACTGAGTAAAGATATAACTCGATTTTTGATTGGCGTCGGTCAGTCTGCACAATTCCCTTGTTAGACAACAGCTACGTATGACTATGTACTTTAAGATGGTTTTAATACCGAAATTTTCCTGAGTTACAGTAAATTGTAGTACATTAACATAATTTACAGTTTTTATAATGATTTGACTACAATTTATTTACTTTTTACAGCTTAATCCCCAAAAGTAAACAATCTTCATCCAAACACACCATCCCTATTTAACAAATGACATTTCTATCAACCAAACGCCATTCCCGCATACCAATCAAGCTTAATGTTAATAAACAACCAACATGACGTTACATTGCCATTTGTTGTCGTAGGTATTGGTGGTCGAAACCCTTCCGTTTGTGGTCGTTTAACATCATCCGGTTTAAGGGATTGCCAAAAGTGCGTCACAGGCTGAGGAGCGCGACAAGAACGGCGGCCAAAGAGGCTTCGGCCATGATCCTAAAACCTTCTCGATGCTTCGGAAAGCCCGCTAAAACCTGCGGGCCTGGCCTGAAAACACTTTTCTTAACCTGATTGCGCAACTTCTGACGTATTTTGGGGAATGACGCTATAAGTATATGATTCGGATAAACTGTGTCGTTCATACTACTGTTGCAAGCCGTTGAAAGTATTTCACACACCTTTTAGGGGTTATTCAGCACAGTCTTAAATATATTTCACACAATTCGAGGCCCTAGCGTAGTTAAATTTAAAAATAAGACTAATTACAACATGTCTATGGTACACTTTAGTAATAAACTACAAGATTATGACTTTAAACATACAACATTAAATAAATAAAACTATTAGAGTTGAAAAAAACTCAAGACTTTGAAGTGAGATTCAAAAAAAGCCCTTATACTAAAGCTAAGTTGTAGAAACAAGTGGTTTCAATAGTGTACATATTATTTTTTATACCTCTACACGTTGTACAACAAACCACTTTTTATCAGCGTGCCAACAATATACAACATAACTTATTGTAGTTTACTTGTCTTTGTTACCTCTGTTCGCGTTAGTATTTAAACTTGATGCACATACGTACTTCAATACGTTTTTACTATTTCACATTGTAAAGTAAGATTTTACAAGCTCTTACTTTCAAAACTATAATAAATTAACCCTAATAAAACTGTTTTCACCACCTTTGCACCCGAATTACTCTTCTTTCAAAAATGATGTCTCAATCAACCTACTATAATATAAACAATACTAAAATTAACAATTCTATAAAAATTCAACTTCTCAAAACCCTACAAGCAATCAAAAACATCTCTTACATACGATACAAACGTAGTAATTGAGTTTCCAAAACTTCAGATTCCGTTTCCGTTCTCAGATCTGAATCATTTACTAACCAAGGCTGAATTCGATTGGACGGAAATCAATCGTCATTACTCTTAATTACTCGATGAGGGAAAGCTTCATGTTCCAAAGTATGTTCCTAATTAATTTGTATTGTCAACTAAACGACAATTACTGTGGTTTACGAGTTACCGTATTTCGAAAAAACATCTAAAAACTTAAAAACAACAAATAGTTGTAACTTACATCTTGAATATCCTTAGACGTGCTAAAGGGATGATAAGGATTGGGTAGTCCTAGATTTACGAGTTCCTTCAAAATTTCGTTCGATTCGGCCAAAACTTCATATTTTCCTGGAAATTATCAGAAGGCGAAGGGTTGACTCGCTGAAATGAGAAGACTCGACTCATTCTAAAAATTTTGAAAAAATGTGTAAACGAATTTATGGCCGACTTTTTGTTGATGTTCAACATGGCTTTTAGTACAGTTTGTGATATTTTAAGAGGGTTTTTTAATTTTAGATAACGCTTATACCTTTTCGTGAATTTTGTTGCCTAATATCATTTTTTGTTTATAAAAGTCCTGCTAATCAGTGTTTCCCTTTGAAACCCCTGTGTTTACTATATCATAAATAAACCTTGCGCCTTCATTAATTAATTTTATCGCTCCGCCTAAGGGCTTTGAGAACCGGCACAAGTGACAAAAGGAAGAGTGCGGATTTTCGCGCCTTGGGAAAGTCGTTAAAATGACAAATGAGTGGAATCAAGGTCGCCTTACCACAGATTAATCGACTCTTTTATTGACTGACTCTCGACCATTATTCTATTAGGTCTTGATTGAGGTCGGTGTTGCTAATTATGGAGGTGTGACACCTGATCGCGTAAATCTCTCCTTGCGTGATATATGTGTAATATGTTGGTCTGACCCTCTCCTATTGCCATGCTGTCTCTTGGGTCTTGCTGATCGTTGTGATAGGCAATCTCGGCATATTAATATCCTTCTCGCCCTATCGCGCACTCATTAAGCAGATTTACGGTTACTGTAACCTCTTTACGAGCAACTTTATTAGTCATAACTTCTAAAATTCGAGATAACGTTCCTTAATTCAATTTATTCTTTTATTATTTTAGTTGAAAAATATAAATTAAAAAATAAAATAAAAATCTATTAAAGTTTTTGGTTGATATTGTAGTAGAGATCCAAGGTAGTCGATGTCATGGTACTAAGTAAAGCATTAGGTAGTACTGTTCTGAAGTCCGTTTAAGAATAAGTTATTGGGTATGGGGTAAAGCGAGTTCTGTGGGAATGGCATTAATGCGGGGAATCGCATTAAAGGCGAGAATTGCATAAGTGGCGTCAGGTTGGGGTTCTGAAGTTGCAGAAACTGTTGTAGAAGTTGGGGGTTGAACTTGAAGTAGTTGGTCGGGTCTGGAGGGGCAGTGGTGGTGGTTAGGATTTTGCGAAGGCGCGCGCGACGGTTGCTGAACCATACCTGAAACGTTATGGTTTACTAGATATATAACTTAAGGTAAAAAAAAATATTTACTTTAGTGTTTTTACAGTACTGATATTCCGATTTTAATGGGCTTGTATAAGTTTAGTGCTAACTGCGGTAAAGCTAGAGCTTTATAGTAACTTACCCCGATCTTTTCCTGGCTCAGTCCAGTCAGACGGCTGATTTCCTCTTTCTCCTCAGCACTAGGATAAGAACTTTTGGCGTACGACTTCTCCAGTACGTCAATTTGTTCTTGGCAGAAGTTGGTTCGGCTTCTGGAGCCACTGGAGCTTGTTGGGGATTCCAATCTCAAGTCTAAAAAAACTTTAAATTAACTTGTTTTGTAGTAATTACGTTATTAAAATGTATATATTATTGTTTTAATGTCATCTTTGCCTTATCAGTTAAGTCTAGGATAGTATAGATAACTTTCAAAAAAGTTTGCCGAATTGAGCCATAAAGTGTCATGGAGACTAATGAGTGTCATAAAGTTTGGTCAGATCAGCTAGCGGCATCAGGATAGGTTACAAGCCACGCGGGGGTTAGACACGATCTAATCTAGCCTTAAAAGGTTTACCGCAAAGCCACCGCCTGTCAACTGATTTGACACCTAGTTGGACATCGCTGCTTGAGCTCGGTCAGCCGCCGTCTCATTAACATTGGTTATCAGGTTAAGTGGCCTAGCTAGTTGACTCGAAAAGGAATCTCGCCTCTTCGAGGCCAATCCGAGAATATTGTTGTGCAATAGGGCAATATTTGCATAGGAATAAGCTGGCTACAAGGCAAAGTCATTTTTCTTGTTGAACGCCGACTTCCGGGATTAAGTCGACGCAATCGCGCACATTCGGCGACAAAAACGGCAGATGGCATTTGACATGATCATACTGTAATCTCGTCAAACAAAACTTAATATCGCCTTGTTACCTAATAGGCTAATTAGAGTCAATTAAGGGAGCGATCTAATTACAGGATATCAACCGGTATTGTAGCACGTTTTTACAGATAAGTTACAGTAAATGTTTTTGCTACTGCGTTTGGAGAAACTGTAGTTAGGCTTACAGCGTATCTTTAGCAAATTGTCTTACAGCTTACTAGTTACTACAGTAAACTCCTAACACTTACACCTATATGAGTCTGACTTCTCAATAAACAAAAATCTTTTAAAATTTTTGAAATTAGTCTGTTTGTTCCGTTGACTCACCTGGTTGATGATTAGCAGATCCCAGAATGTTGTCGATGGAATGGTTGAGCTTTTTGTCGCAATTCATTGGACTCGTCACTTCGCTTTCGGCTGGCGACCGTGATTGTCGTGACAAGCCACGCGCCCTCAAGTATCGTGTTATCGAGTTGACAGTGGGTGCCGTGTCCCGGGTACAGTTTCCGGTACTCACCAGGTGCTGTTGGATGTCGACGGCCGAACAGTTGGGGTTGTTCTCCTTGAACTCGAGGATTTGTCGCTCCACGCTTTGAACAATTAGCCGTTTTCGGGTGTTACCGCCAATCTGAAAGACAGTAAGAAATGACATTAAGGCCGTGACATTCTCATTTGTCACCTCCCCATGGGAGACTTATTGTGCTTCGAATTTCAAAAAGTTCTTACCTGTCCGGGTGCGACCGAGCCTGTTTCGTTGAAGCGGTTTAGAATCTTTGACACGGCTCCATGAGAAATCTTCAGTTGGCGGCTGATGACACAGGGTCTAAAAGTAGAAGAATATTACTTTTGAAAGTTTTTAAAATATTTTAATATTTTGAAGTTTGAAAATTTCACAATTTTAATACTTTTTACGTAAAAGGTGTTAATATAGAGGTTTTTTGCCTTTTAAAACAAATTTAATCAATTAAAAGTAAAATATTTTTAAAATTTTTCGAACATTCCTTATGAAATTTGTCTTAAAAACCTACTTGATCCCTTGATTGTGCATGTTGACAATGGCTATCCTCATCGCGTTGGGCAGGGGTTTTCCATTGATGTAATGGCCGCCCAGTTGGTTAACTCTCTTCTGTCCCATAATGGTGGCAATCTCATGGTTTTTTGATTCCAAGAAAGGGACCTTCATCGTTCTCGTCACGCTGAAGAAGAAAAAAGTTGTTTAATCAATAGAAGAAAGACACGCGTCTCAGGCTCCAATCACCATCCCCTACCGTAATCGGTCTTCACGCCGCGTTTCACGGTTGTGATACGCATTCAACTCCTATCAGTTTACAACAAAACTGATAAGACTGATTAAGACGAAGCATGGGGGGACATCCTTTTCGAAAAAGCTAATTAACAATCAAACGCGAATTCTATTGTGGGACTACGGTAGGCTCGGACGAGGGAACACAAAGGGGGATATTAACACGAAACATGGTGTATAATATAGGGTTCAGTTTAAAGGTATTATTGTTGTACTGTATACAGTAAGGATCTTAAAAAGTTCTTAGGGATTTAAAATTTTTAGGCTTTAAAACTTTAGGTATTAACAGTATGGCGAAAAAAGTGGAGACTAAAGTACTGTTAAAGCTCAATAGTACAGTAAGAAAAAACTATAGTAAAAGAACTTTCTAATCAAAAACTTAGTTCACTTAAAAGCGGTGTGATACACGGTTTCGTACAAAAGACAAACCGACTAGTAAAGCTATAACCAAAAGTAACCCAAAAAGTAAATCTTTACAAAGATACGAACATCTTGTCGTACAAGATACGGTACTGATACCACGAACGGATCAGATCCGATGATATTAGCCTTGACACGATCAAAGGGCGAAAGGTGCGACTAAATTCAGATTTGGCATTCACCGCAATTGACTTAAGAAGGGGGCGTGGTGAAGTTGAGGTGTGAACAAGGTAACACGACTAACCTCTGATCGCACGATGATATTGAATGAGCTTGAACTGGCCAATTACTATCTGTCTTATCTGTCTACAGCCGAAAGAATCCTGTTTATGTATGGGTAACCTGAGGCGAGTCAATTCGTCTTTTGTTTGGGACACGCGCCCTTTGAGGATGGTGGCGCAACTTTGTGTTATATCGCTTACTCCTTTAATCACAAGCGGCATGTATAGATTTCGGTGGCTTGATTACTTCAATTGTTCCGATCTTAAGGGAAGTGAAATTGTAAAATTTTAAAATTTTCTTTTTTAAAAGCCGCACAACGCCATCTTTAAGACACTAAAACCGATGTAGTTGCACTTTTAGGGGGTAGCTTTGCATTTTTTCACTGAAAAATAAGTATTAAGTTCAAGTACAAAGCTTACTGTACCGTTATTGCCAAGTTTCAGTATGAGAAACGTAAAGCATTTTTGTTAAAAAATTTTAAAAAAGATCGAATGTTCTGGCTAACATTTGACAGTTCAATAAAGAATTTTTAACGATATAAGTTTTACATAACAAAATAAAGCAAAAAAGAGTAGTATATTCTTGTTTTTACAGTAATATAGTACTTGAAGCATTAGGTAGTACAAAACGTGCCCAAAATACGACAAATAGAATATGATTAATGTGTAACCGAATAATCACCGTAGCAAGGCTGGATTTCCGAAGAACACACTTCCCCGAATCGTATCAGAGCGCGTATCACAGAATCACACTCTAGCGTAAAGTCGTATGTTACCGAGGCAGGTACATTCTCCACCAGAGCATCTCCATTAATTTGAATTGCGTTTGAAACAATCGTTTCATTTTTGGGCGATAAAGTGCGAAAAACAATAAAATTAATTTTATTTAACGAAAGATACGACTAATCGTTTATTATGTAAGTTAATTTAGTTGAGAATCGTGTGGTCTGACAATACTTTTCGTCGCTGTTCCTGCACGTCCGACTTCCACTTGGAGGTCTTGTCTTCCACCTTGTCTAGGACACTTGTGGCTGTGTGTTGTACCTTGAGAGGTATCGACCCGTTCGTATCCACTGTGGGATCACCGAATATGTTTTCTTCTATCTGAAAAAATATAAACCTTGCTTGAAGAACAGATCCCACTTTACGCTACTAGCAAATCTTTAAACTAACAAAGTAAAAAAAATAAACATTTATTTTATATTCATTTAGACCTAACTAATAAGCAATACTAAAAAATATTATTCTCCTATTAACAGGCTTACCTCGTCATCTTGACGTTTATAGTTAAGTGTGTTTTGCCTCCTCTTAAACATTGGATCCAATATCGTCAAGAACATCATGTAGGATCCAAGTAGAGCCAATATACATATCACAAATATCACCACAACCTAAAATAGTTCAAATTTAAATTCAAATTAAAAGTACATGCAAAAACGTCCAGAAATTTAAAAAATTTGTCTATTCCAAGTTAAAATATATAAAGTGTCATTTACGATAGCTATCCATCATGCATAACACAACTCACTACAGTAAGATACTATGAAACGTAGCGACTGACGTCCATAAAATCAATTAATTTGCATAGCAAATGTTTTACATACTGTACGAAATTGGAGTTACCAATAAAAACGATTAAATTAATTTAAAAGCAATAAATCACCTTGAGCAAAATTGTATTCCGAGATTCGAAGCGACAATCACAATTGGCCAGGAACGCATCCAAATGTGAACTGTCCACGAAGCCCTTCACTGAGAATTTGACCACGTTTTGGGGGTTACTGAAACGAGAAGGTTAAAGCATGTTACAAAACACAACGTTAACTGTTTTTTAGCCTAGTTTACGGCTTTTCAAAGCAAACTTTAACAAAATTCTACCTAACTACATGCTCATAAGAAAATGTTAACAATTCAGTCATTCACAATATATTTCATACCATTTAAGCATAGTTAAGTCAAAACGTAAAACAGACGTTTAGATATAAAAAACTAGCTCTAAAAAATTCTTAACAATGCTAAAATTATTAAAGTAATAAAAACAACTTACCAATTTGGAGAAAGTACATTCGTTTTTGTGTAGTACCTGACCTTGTTATCTGTCATGTTTGGTCCGGAAAAATACTTTGTATTTGGACATGTGCATCTACATCTTGAATCTTCGAAATTTGCCTAAAATTAAAGATTATTTCAATCAAAAGGTTGAAGATTATTCTCGTGATTTAAAAACGTTTAATTCTACTTTTAAACCCATAAACCAGATTAAAAAAAGTTAAACTTTTCATTGCCTAAATAATAATAAACACTATAAACAAAAAATTACTTACATTGACAAAATTAATACACAGTAAAGATAAGAGGGTTTCAAGAACTCCCAGCTTCATGTCATGGATTGATTTATCTTCGGTTGTTCCACTCGATCAAACAAAAATCTATTTTCTCTATCGAAAATGACGAAACGCCAGAGTTTCGTTTTCGTGGTGGGGCCAAAGTGATCGAATAATGTTTTATAAAAATTTTGAAAAAACAAACGAAATTTCGTATTTTGGCGCACCAATTGCCAATATCTTGATCAATTTTTCCTTTGGATCGGTAGAACAATCAACTTTAGCAATAATTGAATGTCAATTTCATCGGATGATTCGTTGTTCGACGACGATGATAACGTTGTAGTCGAGGAACAGGAGGACATTGACTATTATGCGGTTTTGAATCTGCCAACTGATGTAAGTTGTTTCTTGTTTATTTCTTTACGTTTAGGCTACAACTGACGAAGTGAACAAAGCATACAAGGCACGATGTTTATTGTTTCATCCAGATCGGCACACCGACCCAAAATCAAAGAAAGATGCTGAAAAAGTGTTTGTTGTTCTTCGGAAAGCACACGAAAGTATGACTTACGTAATATTTAACTAATGTTTGGTTAAAAATGTCAAAATATTTTAGTTTTTAGCTCCATGAGTCTCATGAACTTATTTTAGCTTTATCGGATCCTCAGAAACGTGCTATTTATGATGCTGTTGGACTACGAGGTCTGGAAATGCGTGGATGGCAGCTGGTGTCGAAGTCAAACAATGTAGAGAATATTAGAAAAGAGTATGAGTTTTTGAAGAAGCTCAGGGAAACTGAAATAATGCTGCAAAGATCACATCCTACAGGATCTTTCCATGTCAGAGTTAATGCTGCTGGATTGTTTTGTGAAGGCCCAGAAGATCGTTACCCGCCGTACCTGGTGGGAATGACATTGAATCAGTCTGTAGATACAGCGTTGACGACTGTTGACAGAGTTGGGTTATCTGGGAGAGTAAAGTCGAGCAATGGTCGTGGAGAAGGTTTAGTTTCGGCCAATTGGAAACGATCGTTGAGCTCGTCTTTGCATTTTGAAGTAAGGTTTTTTAATGATGAATAACAATGTTTACTGACACTATTATCAAATTTTTCTTATTTAATAATTTAAATTTTATTATTTATGCCTTACATTTATTATCCTTTAGACAAACGCCTCAGTAGGTCCAGATTCAATAGCAACTGTAGTCAAATTGAGCAAAACGATTACGCCGAAAGTGATGGTACAACTGGCACCAACTGTTCAATATGTTCCTATGTCTGGGGATTTTGACCTTTCTATGGCATCGAGTATGCTTATTTTTATATGGGTTGCTTTCAACAATGGCAATGTGTGTTTAAATACTATTTTCAGCCATTTCAATGTTTTTGTCTCCAAGTTGGCAAGGCTCTCTCTCACTTAGCTATGGGCTTAAGAATTCCTACATTTCTTCGACCATCATGAAGACTGAGTTAAATCACCCCAAGTTTTCCTTAAGTCTTACGGTTTGTTTTATCTATATTATTTTAGTATACTAATTTTATACTTGAATTGGTATTTGAATGTTCAACAAATTATTTTAGCTTTCACCAGCCAATTCTTTTATAAGAACTTCATACCATAAAAGATATATTGAAGATGATGGTCATCTGGAGATGAATATGACGTTAAGCCCATTTGGAGTTGTACCTTCTATTTTGTACGAAAGGAAGTTGTCACGGTATTCAAAGATTGCGTGCGGATTGTCAGTGACATACCCTACTTACAATTTAATTGCCAAGTTGAGGTAGGTTTTCTTTAAATTTTTTGCGAACTAATTTGAAGTTTTTTTTGTCAGCAGTTTAATTACACATAGTTTAGTTGATTTGACGCTATACAAAAATTAAGGGTTTAATATTCAATTTTTTTAAGATTAAAGACTAGTTTGAACCATTATGAACTCAATATTGTATTATGCGAATCTCCGGATGAAATGGCCAGAAGTGTCATCTACGGTGTTGCTCTGCCGTATATCACCTTCCAGACGGTGCGGATTGTATTCAGAAAGACGTTTAATAGATTTGGCAGATTGTTTGACGATTCGGCCGTGGAAGATCAGGTGGATGAGACCAAGAGGGAGGAGTCTCAACGTGTTATTAATCTCACTAGACCAATGGCCGAACGAATCCAACGTGTAGAAGAACAGAAACATGGTCTTATTATTGTGGAAGCTACTTATGGCCAGATGGAAGGTGGAGATTCTAGATATCCGGTGCCAGGAGAAAAGGTCATTGATGTCGTTGTCCCGTTGCAAGCAATGGTAGTGGAAAGCCAGCTGCGGATATTTGCTGTCAAGGTGTGTTTTTGGTATTTGTTATGATTGGTCATGTTTGTCATCATCTTCATGACTTAAAACTATATTTTTTGGTTTTTCTGTTAAATTATTGTCTTTTATCAGTTGTAAAATTAAATAAAAGAGTTTTATTAATTTAAATTTCAGAGTCAGTTGACTGGGTTCTTTGACCCTTGTCCTAACGAACCCAAAATGCTCAAAGTTGTCTACAAGTTCAGAGACAATCTTCACGCGGTGATTATTCCAAATGAGCTTCCATTAAACATCCCATTGGAATGTGAGTCCTTTCGATTATATTTTAAAAAACTGGACGCCTTTATTTTATCTTACTTCATAGTTATTTTGACTTTATGTGAGTCATTTCAACTTTCAGTTTAACAATTTATACTAATTGAATTAATTTCAGCTCATCGCATTTCTCAATAAATTAAAGACGTAAGTGTTTTTTCTATGATTCATATCGAAGTTAAATGTTTTGGCGCAGTCAGATGGTATAGATATGAAATTCTTTTTGTTCAAATCGAACAAGAGAGCGTGTCCAACGCGGAGAGCGGCCCTACATGGCCGAGGAAGGACTTGCTTAAAGCACCTGAACAAAAAGAGAGCTCTCTCTCGCTTCGCGCATTTGGGGATCGATTCTGTATTTTATAAGTTTTGCTTCGAAACATGAGAAAAGTGTTTTTTAAGGGCCTTGCTAGACATAATTCCTTCTCGTTATATAAAATTTTGCAGAATTCCCTTGGTTTTTAGACTTTAGTTGAGCTCTAATGTGTGTCCTCACGTCACTCGGTTATTGGGAGTGACGTGTGGAGGTTCAGGTCGAGAAGTGTTTATATGATTTAGAACTTTAAAAAGATGTTGTTATTACCTAAAATCTTTTTAAAGTTTCTTGTCTTTTGTACAATTTCAAAAAAGGGTTTAATAGTTTAGTTTTAGAATTTGATTGATGTTACCTAAAATTTTAAATATCTTTAAGTACGAAACTAATTTGTGTGTTTATTGTTTTATTTCAGAACCGAATGGTCGCCTTTACTATTAGGTCATTTATCTCAGGAATCGTACGAGTATGGCATTAGAATGAATAGCATACATTGTTGATTCTTTTATTTTATTCCGGTGTTGTTCTTGTTGAGGAATAAACGTTTGATTCGGTTTTAACGATGTGTTATATGGTGTCTGTTTGAAAGCCGTTTGAATCGGTATTTATTTTGTAAGCTCTCACGTGGATTATGTGATGTTTTTATGGTAACCAATATTTCATAATTTGTTCGTGTTTTGATTCATATTTTAGTCTTGTTAATTATACATAATTATATTGTATAATGAAACAACTTAATATCGCGTATGATTTTTTACAATTTAATTTTCGTTATTTGGTTTTTTTAGTCTAGTCACAACATGGGAAAGCCAGATCCAGAAGCTCCGAGACCTCCGTCTATTCCATCGGCTCCGGTTGACGACGATGAACATCAAGGAGCGTCTTCCAGCTCGACCGGTCCTGTTTCTCCGGTAAACACTTCTCCTCCGCCAAACTACGGAGCGACTCAAGAGAATCAGCCCTCGTCGTACCAACCACAAACACATCAGATGGGCCCTCAAGGGCACCAGTCCATGCCTCCGCCTCCATCATACGATGATGCAGTCAACTGTCCCGCTCCACCGTATCTTCCAAGTGGGGCGCCAAAGATTGATGGTCCTCAACATGGACGTCCCATCTATCCTCCACCTCCAATTTCAGGTACTGGATACGTTCTTCAGGCTCCAGGTACGTCAATAATGGGGTTTAGTTCTTGTTGTTCATCTTATAATTTGTGTGGATTTTAAGAAATTTGTATAGTTATGCTACTATTTTTTTAATATCTAATTTTCAGCTGATGCCCCTAATCAGCAAGCCCGTGTCATCCACACGACCACAGTAATCACGCCAGTTGCTGGTACTGCCTGCATTCATTGTTTGGTAAGTTCAAAGCTTCATTTCTTATCTCGTTTTAGGTGGGCCAAGTCCAGAACGAGACCGATCTGTGCTGTTTGCTGTGCCTGATTCTGTTTGCGATCTTCACTTTCCCCATGGGCCTGGTACTTCTCTGTTGTATCCCGTGCACTGTCAGACAGCGCTGTAGCCGATGTCGACGTCTACAATAAAACCAGACCAAGAACTACACGAATGAATTACGGGCTTCAATTGTTTTTAAATGTGTCAATATACTACTGATGAATCGAATTCACTTCTTTCCGTGGCAAATAAACCTCCGTGCTAATCGACCGGACTCGTTAGTTTTGTTGAATTTAGAAGATTTAGTTTCACAATTTATATTTTTTATTGTTGTATCCGTTATTGTACCTAATAAACCATCCGGTAAACTTTATTTCGCTTTGGTAATCCCTATGTTGGCATATAAGATATATTTAACACATGTTTTGGTGTGTATTATAAAATTAGGTTGTTCAAGAAATTTATTTTGAGATCGTATTGAGATAACTTAACATATACCTATCCTAACAATACTTTCCTCATCTTTTGTTGAGAGGTTGACGGTAGCTCTAATTCGTCTTCTGATTCTCCTGACGATGAAAGAGCATATGCGGGACTAGATGAGGAGCAGGTGCTTGAACTGTAAAGTTACTTTGTGTTTTGTATGATCAAATTTGGTTGTTTGTTATGTAAATTAATGTCGAATTCTTTAAAAACGTTGTTTTTGTAGTTTATATAAAGTTCAAAATGAATCAAATGACTTACCACAAGTACTGCATCAGTGGAACTCGGTACTTTCCGCAAAAGTCCACAAACTTGATGTGTTCTTGTTTGGCCTCGAAGTAAACTCCTTTACATTTGGGATTGACACATTGGTTGGCCGAGCTTAGGTATAGTCTTAAATGTGGCGGTAGAATGCAGATGTGTTTTGCCATTTTTAGTTTTACAATTCGTGCTGCCAACTCTGTCAACGTAGCCGGTTCGAAAGTCATATTGTTAACGAAGTCGGTAACTAAAGAGAGATGAGTTTAAAGAAATGGCACTTACTCAGTGGATTGGCTCTAATATTCAGTTGTTCCAGGTTTTTTAGTCTGGTTATTCCTGTTGGTAAAGCCTGAAAAGTAATTTTAAGTACAGAATGTAAGGTACTATTCATACAGTAAGTGAAAGATTGAATATCAACTTAAGCATGACAGTTACAATACAAAAATTATCAATTTAAGATGGTTCAAAAGTCATACTAAATCTTTACCTTTATACGGTTATTGTGGAGTGTTAACGTCCTTAAAGAGAATAGTCTTTCAAAGCTGATTGGTAAAGTTTCTAGCCTATTGACTGCCAAAGCTAAAGCTGTAAGATTAGGTAACGTTCCCATGGATTCTGGAAGAGAAGTCAACTGATTGTCACCCAAGTAGAGTATCTCCAGACTGAAAATAATATATATATATAAATACAAAGCTTAATAGCAGTAGTATGTAAATCATGATATAAAGCTAAAGATTATCTCATACGTTACTATCTGCTATATAGTAGTGTACGTGATAACATTTACTTTATAAAATAACTTACTTGGTTAACCGTGAGATCTCTTGTGGAATCTGAGAAAGATGATTCGCACCCATATGTAATTCTTTTAACCGTGGTAATCTGAAGATGACTTGAGGAACTTCTTGAAATTGGTTTCCTGACAATATCAGCACTTCCAAGTTGCGTAGCTTCTCGAATCCGTCTGGTAGTGCCTTCAGTTGATTATGTCTCAAATCTAACCGTCGTAATTGTTGTAGAGCAGCTATTTTATTAGGAATGGTAAGAAGATCATTGTAGCTGAAGTCCAATCTATAAATTTTTATGTTTATGCATCACTAGGACGTTGTTTTATAAATATGTGCTTTATCAGTCTTATTACAGTAAATCAAATCACTTACGAAGTGAGATTTGTGAGTTTGAAGAGATCATCAGGACAAACCGTGAAGCGGTTGTGACTAACGTCCATATCTGAAGCCACCGTCACATCGTCCAGTTCCATGAAACCTTCAGGCAACGCTTCCAATTCACGTCCGGAAATGTCGATCATAACTTCGGAAATACTATAAAAACACATATTAAACACAACTTGAGAGTAACGTAAACACATCAAAAATGATATCATATATTGTTCTTCAATAACTTTAACAACAGAATCCTTTAAACAGACAACCGCTACGTGAGCAACAGCAAACAACTACAGCTTACCTCGAATTGACTGAGTAATCGTCTTCTGATAGAAATGGCGCATCTGGATTCATTGCAAGGGGAAGGAGACGAGGCGAGATAGCTAGATCAAATCACTGCGTGTGTTTAGGGGGTCCCTCGTCTTTAATCATATATGTTAAGCGATGAAAGAACGCCTGAATTGACAAAACCACGAGACGAAACAAACACGTAAAATGCATGTGATCATCGTATAACAGCTGTGTACAGCGTGTCCGATTACAAAAAGTGGCCTTTGAAGACCTATGGCTTCTGAATTCACCGTACACATTTTTTATACCATCATTTAGGTACCCTACTTGATGTAAAACCACAAGTTCAAAGTAAAAAGTCTGTCTAAATGTGAAAAAAGGGTGTAGGTAGGATCTGATGAGAAACAACGTTGGTATTCCCCACAAATGTGCAGTTGCAACTCTTAAATATTGATTAATGTATTACACTACAAGGTAGAACCCATTAATTACGTTCATATTACACTTTAGCCACTTAAACTACAATCTTTAAAATAACCAATAAGGAAATGAGAGTCAAGGGGGTACGGTATGTTTTGTCATCTTTTACGTTCTGGACGGTATTCACAGTTACAACGGAAGTAAATTGCAATATCTTTTAGTCAACTAACTTATATAATAGTATTTACTTTGATTTTTATACAAAAATTACAAAAAAATATAATTATTGGCAACAAAAAGTATTTAGAATAAAATAATTTAACATTAAATTGACAATATTCAACCCAAAATACCAAAGAAACAGTTAAACACTACATATAGACTCTATTGTAGGTCCTATAAACTAATAACAAATATAAAAAGCAACCTTCTGGCCATAATTTAAAAAATACTCAAAAATATTGAAAATACCAAACTTTTTAGGTTGATGGTATGTTACTGACTGCTACGCTTCTGAAACGAAAACAAAAACCCATCAAACAAATTCCCCGCTATAAACTGATGCAATAGTTTAGAGGATGGAATCATCACTCAGGTAACGACTGGAACAAAGAACAATTCACGCGTTAGACCACAAATTCCACATTAGCATCCTTCAGAAGAGACGCCATCTTGTTCTCCTTGTGCAGTCTCTCGGTATCGTCACCTCCACCGATGAATTGGCCATTCACAAAGACTCGAGGCACAGAACGGCCTCCAGTCAGACGTTGAAGAACGTCTTGGATAAGGTCACCAGTGTCTAACTCATCAAGTTCCACGACCTTGTAGTCCTTCTGGTCGATACGGTAAATTCCAAACAGTACTTGTTTCGCTTTTCTGAAAATCAGATACAGTAACTCCAGAATAGCTGCTATACAAAAACTAATTTTATTTTTACGCAAAACGATTGGCTATTTCATCATGAAAGCTTTGTTGTAAACACTTTTGTTAATTCACTGTATTTAAGAACAATCCCGAACTTATATATTATCCTACAATAAATTTTCAATTTAAAAGTCATACCTTGAGTATGGACACCAAGACTTGCTAAAAACGACAACTTTCTTGCTGGCAATCTGCTCATTAACAAAGTCCATAGCATTGAAAACATCTCCACCTTTTTCTTTAGCTGCTTGTTCCAACTTCTCGAGTCGTCTTTGTTCAGCCAATTGCTTTTTTCTTTCTATTTCACGTTGAACTTCAGCATCGTACTCTTCCTGCTGCTTTCTGCGGACTTCTTCCAACTTTTGCTTGTGTTTGTCTCTTTGTACATTATCTAAAATAGCATTTATTAAAACAATTATCAAAATCTTCCAATTAAATTCATGATTATAGTAATTTGCGCAAAAAGATTTATATTTAATTCCATTTTTATTATAATTTACTGAAAAAACTAGTGTTAAAAAAAACCCACCATCCTTCTTTTGCCGCTCCAACTCCTTGTTCTGCTGATATTCGGCCAACTTATCAGACAGATACTTCTGATAACCAACGTATAATACAGCGAAGATAATCAGAGTGTACCATCCGTACCTTTCCAAATACGAAAATAAAGATGTCAACATCCTAAAAAACCAAACGCAAATTTAATAGTAAAAAATAATTGATATACAACAAATAGCAAAAAAATAGCTATATTGACAAGGTTTCAACCTCCCGGTAAGTAATCATACTATAAAGTAAAACAAAATGTTTTATTCAACAATTAACAATAACTAAAACAAAATAAATTAACAACCTAATTCGCGGCAAAACTCTTTGTCTTGGTCCATGGCATTACTTTAGTTACCTAAAACACATGATATAACGTATGATGCATGATAAGTACTACCTCAAACAAATTAAGCTCAACTTACCCTATATTCTTCATAAAGCTTGTCAAACCCGTCTTCTAGTACAACTCCTTTTCTCTCTCCAAATTCTTTCATCCATTCCAGTTTACAATTGAAGTTTACGAAGAGATACAACTGTTTTCCCACTGAAAAAAAAGATAAAACATACGCTTTGACATAATACTTTAGCATAGTTGATTTACAACAAAAATATCGTAACGAACTTCGCTTACCTGACAGCTTTTCTCCTCTTTTCAAACCGTTTATCATATCAAAGAAGGCCAACTCCGACGTTCTTTTGTACTTTCCTTGAGCTTTCAACTCTTGAGCGATTGTTTTTAATATTAACTTTCTGTTTTGTTCAACTTGAAGTTGTGGGAACGCTAGTCCCTATAAAAATTACATATATACAAAATTAAGCTTTTATCAGCAAAAAAGATAAAAAGCTTTAACTTACAAGAAAATCGAGTGAATACTCGACCAATTCCGGTAGTCGATCTCCGATATTCAGTGTTTCTCGGCTAATAGTGACCATGTGCTTCAGCATCGCTCTCAAAGCCCGGAATCTGTTTGCTGAAGGATTTGCACCACCTGCCAGAGCCACTGGTACTGCTCTCAGATGATCTGCCAAGATTCTGTACGCTATTTCAATCTCGTCACAGTTTGGTTCCACTTCAGACAACTAAAATAACATAAAAAATACATTGGTTAAATTACCTGATCAATCTTTTTCAACAAAGGCATGAAAAGATCAGTTCTGTAATTTGAATCCACTCCTTGAACAATACTGACCAATCTTTCGAATCCCATACCACAGTCAATGTTTTTTGTAGGTAACGACTCAAAAACCGTGTTATCAGTGCGATTGTATTGCATAAACACCAAATTCCACAATTCAATCACATCAGAACCATCAACGTTAACAAGATGAGACTGGCCTGTTCTATCTCGTCGATCTACGTGAATCTCCGTGCATGGTCCACAAGGTCCTCTGTCAGCCATTTCCCAGAAATTGGACTCGTAACCAGCTGGCACAATGTGGCCTTCTAATACTCTAGAAAAAAAAGTTTATTTTAAAACTATTATAGATTTCAGGTATAACATGTATAACATCCAACAGAAGATATACAATATAAAGCCATCACTTACCCAAGACTCCTCCAAATGTCTCTACATGCAATGTCTGGCTTCAATCCTAAAGTTCGATCACCATTAAAGTAAGTAACGTAAAGCCTGTGTGCTGGTATCTTCATCTTCTCCGTCAGAAACTCCCATGCGAACTCACAAGCTTCTTTCTAAACCAAATAAAACATCAATATTATCCTTTACATTATAGTAGTCTCCAAACGACCAGTTTCCCAGCATTTCGAACATTGTCTGATGATGCATATCCCTTCCAACATCTTCCAGATCATTGTGTTTTCCTCCAGTTCTAATACAGATTTGAGAATTAGCAACTCGAGGGAAACAAGATTCAACTTGACCAAGGAAGATCGGCTTGAACTAAACTTCAATATAAAAAACATGAAGAAAAACACTACCTGATTCATTCCAGCATTTGTAAAGGCTAATGTTGGATCGTCAGCTATAACAGATCCAGAAGGAACTATTTTATGTGCTTTTTGTTCGAAAAACCGTAGAAACTCATGTTTAACTTCACTTCCACTTAAATTAGAAGCATATCTTCGAGTAAACAAAGAAAAGTTCCTTGAAATCATCTGTTTTAGCACATTTACTTATTTTACATCAGTTCTCGCACAAACGTCGTCGAACAGTTCGACAAAATTTCGCCGAAATTATTTTCCTTTTCTTTTGGACGAAATGCCACAAAAATTATTGAAATTTGTGTAAAGTGCGATTACTGATAAGGCGACGATCGCGCGTTTTTGTGGTTTCGCAAAAGAAACAAATAAATATTTGTTACTTAAATAAAATCAGACAAAAAATGTGGAAATTATTTTCAGAGAAGGTGCACCGTACGTTCTTCGACTACGGAAAGTAAGTTGAGAGATGCACGATATTATAATCCAGATTATGTTCAGCACATCCAGTAGCATGTTTGTCTTTATCATTGCTTTCGGTCGTGTTCTTATCCTATCCAGCCATGCTCAAGATAGAATTGCCTGTTTCCAGTCCGTTTGACGTTTATTGGCATCAGACTACGGACAGTTTAGAAGGTAAGTTTAGGTAACAACTTATATTTTCTTGCATGAATGGAACCTACGTAATACACTCGTGTTTCTATAGGTTAATATGCTTCATGTAAAACAATTGTGATGTTGTTTAGATGCCCCTGAATGGCTGAGCACGTCGCCAGACTTGATCATCCAACAGATCGTGGTCAGTACTCAAGTTGATCCTTGGAATACGACAGAGTTTACTCCAGATACTGTAAGATTATTTTTGTTAATGATTCAAGTTGAAGGTAATACGTGCTGCCATTTTACAATCATTCAAAGTGTACAATGTACTCAAGGATTCAAATACGAAAAATAGTTGTTTTCAATTACAAAAACATAATTTTGATGATTGTATTGTATTATCACCAACACTCTTTTGGGATAATGACATACAGAATCTGAAGCGGGACAACAATATACGGAAGACTATTTTCAAACATAACTGTCAGACAGGTTTATGCGAAAGAGACCTTCGTTTAGGTACACCTATTTGGAATACCGGAATCAGACGAAAATATCAGACAAATAGGCAAAGAAGTAAGATACTTTTTGCAATACAGTAATAGCATGTAATCTTCCCTGAGAGGCCAATTATTTGTTAAAACATTTTTTGAAACGATATATATTGTAATTGTTGTTTTAGCCATCAAGTTGGCGATTACATTGTTGATGACAAAAAGAAACGACAAATGGAGAGAAACTTTGGTCAAGTTACTGGCCAAAACGTTTACCGTAACTAAATCACATGCTTTAGATGACGATACATTAATTCATGTATTTTACAAACCAGGACACTACTTTTCTAACTATTTTCCTATCTTGGCATCTTACTTTACATGCGCCGTAAGTCTTGTTACTGCACAAAATAATACTTTAGATAAATAAACTAATTTGTACTTTTAAAATAATATAGGCATAAACCGGTTAAAGTCAGAAAATTATAATTTTTCATAGATCTTTAGGTTTACTTTTACTACACTGTAAAGAAGTTTGAGATGGTGAAAAGCAAGTTTGGACTAGCCATTGCGTCTTTTTTTACTGTTGTATTTACATTGACTACTACTTTGGGAATCTGTCAACATCTGGATTACAGTGCTTCGATGGGAAGGTCGAAGATATTTCCATATTTGGCTATGATTGTTGGATTGGAGAATGTGTTGTGCATTACACGGTAATATTTAGTTATGGACATTGTTCCTCATAAAACATGTAAAGATTCTGAATATATATTTTATCTTCACTCTTTCTGATAGAATATAAAGTAATACTTTCAGATCAGTTGTAAGCATTCCACCTTCATTAGATGTTTCAGTTAGAATAGCTCATGGATTGTCAGAAGAAGCTCCGAAGATTACAAAATACTTTGTTTTGGAGATGTTCTTCTTATTATTTGGGTATCTAACTCAAGTTCCGGAGATCCAGGAGTTTTGCGTTTTTGCTTTTATTGGCATTGTTGTAGACATGTACATGCAGGTGAGGTTACACGTTATCAAGCTAAATTTTGGTCAATTTTTATGTTTTTTAATTAAATTTTATTTAAAAGATGCAATTGTGCTTATAATTATATTTTTTCAGTTATTTTTCTACACTCCGTGTTTAATATTTGACTTGAATCGAATGGATTCAGCTGACAAAAACAGATTCTCAATTATGTTGTTCAACACTGACATCAAGAAATTGAAAAAGTTTCCAAATCCAAAGTAGGAACATTTTCTAATTGTTTTATAAGTTGTGTCATTTAATTTTGTTAAAAATGTTAATTATTTAAATTAAATATTATTTTAGATGTCCAGCCGAACACTTATTTCCATCTTTGTTTAAGCGGAAGAATAGGTTACTGAGACGATTGTCAGAAGATAATTTAAAGAATGAAGGTTCCAAAAAAGGTAAATTTTATACTGATAATTTTTACGCTTGGAGCACAGTAATTAGTGCGACAAGCCATAACTCTGTTTGACAAATCATTTCTTAAAGGAACCGTTCATTGAATTTTTTTAAATGAAATTTTTTCGCGGGTTTTCCAATGTTTTCGATTAATTTTTTGAGAATTTTTATTTTTAAAAATTATTTTCATTTGATTTATTTCTTACGAACGCGGTTGTATATTTTGAACCGTATTGAGGTTTTCTTACCTATTCAGACCTCTAAAATATCATAACATCCAAGACACAAGCCTTTTTTCTTCTGAAGCTTTATAGGCGATATTATACTAGATTTTTAGTGTTTTTGCAGCTTAAAAATATCTTAATTATCTACTGTTTCGTCTTAAATTACTCTACAGACAATATCTTACCTATTCGAACTGTTAACACATCAAAACCCCCAAGATACCAGGCTTTTTCACCTTGAAACCATCAATACCTAATCTTGCGAAAGGTTTATTAACAACAAGAAGGTGAAACAATCCAATTTGGGGATAAATATACATTCTGAAATTAAAAAATAATATTACTTTACTAAAGATACGAAAATTGTAAGATTAATGAGACCATGTAGTTGGAGAGGTTGGTGGATGTGGGTTTAGGCGTTCGCTTACCTCAAGGATAATACCATTATATGTGATCTAAAGTCCTGAAAACGAAAACACACGGAAATACTTACTTTTGACGTCGAATTAGCTGCTTTTTACTCTCTAACGAAACCTGACATTTTTAAACCAATAGTAAAGTAAGACCTACACTATTCTTTAGAAGTTTTACTGAACTAAAAGTTTAAAAATGGTTTCATTATGATAAGGAACACGTTTTTGCAGTTTAGAACAAATAATATGTAGAATATTAAAGTAAAAGTAGTAAAATATAAACTGAAAACCTCAATACGGTTCAAAATATACAACCGCGTTCGTAAGGAATAAATCAAATGAAAATAATTTTTGAAAATAAAAATTCTCAAAAAATTAATCGAAAACATTGGAAAACCCGCGAAAAAATTTCATTCAAAAAAATTCAATGAACGGTTCCTTTAAAACTCACTGTAATCGAAATTTGTAAAACAAAAAGTGTCATTTTCAGGCCACAAAAGATCAACATCATCTGTAAACAGAAAAGGACCTGTCACACCCCAACAACTCTTTTCAAATCGTCTTCAAGTTCTACATTACTGGACCAAGACTCGTATCGTCCAACGTGTGGTGATGTTCTCCTTCTTACTCTGGGTTGGATGGCTAGCCTTTCTGGTACAGAAGTGGAGAGTCTTCGAAGGATTATTTGGAGAAGCTGGTAACTTTACCTTCAGAAGTGACTCAAAGTGGATGAGTCATCACATATTAGACACGGCACCATTAGAATGGAGTGTCTGGTCTACTGCCACTTTTAAGTGGTGGCCTTTACTTCTGGAACAGTACCACCTCTCACTGTCTGCGAGATATGTTACTTTCATGCCTTTAATTTTACTGCAAGATAAGATTTCATACGATGCTAGGGAGTTCAATGTAGAATTTAAAGGCGTCTATAGTAACGTCAATGCTCAGTTACAGTAAGTTTACTTGTAACTTCTTTTTAAATTATATATTCCAACTTCAGTGTGACAAAAGTTATTTTTATTATGGTGAATTATCTATTTAGAGACCGGATCGACTGGTTGGAACTAGAAATGTCAAGATGGTTGTTAATATCAGCTGTCCTACCGTTCCTTACGGTAACCATGTTCATTCTGTACATGTGTTTCTGGGAACGATGGTTAATGTGGAAAAAGGAACTTCAGTCAGCGTTTACGTTGAAGAGGTCAAACTTCAGAAGCCGGTTAAGTTCTGTAGAGCTGACTCCGTTAGCCTTCTCCAGACACGAACTTCCGATCGAATGTGTAGCAGCGTTTGGTGATATAATAGTATCAGCATCTGTGAACGGTCAGGTCTTCGTCTGGGATGGAAAGTCTGGAGAATTGAAGAACTCTTTGTTGCGTAATAGGAATACGGTAGGAGCTCGAGCAAGGTCCAGGTCTTTCTTTGTCCCAAACGAACCAAAAGTACCATCAAGTAACGACAGTAGTCGTAACAAGTCTTTGGTCTGGTGTTTGGATGTATCGTAAGTTTGAACGAATAAAGCGGGATGGGTTTCTGCATTCTGTTTTTTATCCAAGCCTGTATTGAATATTGTTGTCATAGTTTATTGATTTTACTGATAGTTGTACTATTTAGGGATCGCTATATTGTACTTGGATGTTCAGACGGAGAAATTCAACTTGCTAGTGTTTCAAATGGAACTATATTGTACTCAAAGACAAACGACACTTTAGGCGTGTCACATATTCAGGTACCACTTAATGACAAAATATATGTTGTTTCAGATAGCAAACAATAGAATCGTCGCTGTTAGATTAAATGGGATTGTAGAAGTATTGGAGATTGCTAGTTTTACCAACGACTTTGTAGGTTTAGTTCTTTTAATTTGAAGAACTAAAACAGAAATCAAATTTTATAACTTAAATTTTAGTACTAATTGTAGTACTTAATAAATTAATTTTTTTTTAAATTGAATTTGATTTCAGGGCGAATCGAAAGTAATATTGAATCATTTGAGTAAAAGCTACGCCCATCACAAGCCAGTGACTAACGTAATATGCACTATTAGCCATATCATAACAGCTAGTTACGATAACTCAATCCGGGTCATTGACCAAGAAAGTTTACATTTGAGTAACTCATTGTACGGTCATAATGGGGCTGTTATCTCTATTTGCAATGACGAGGAACACAATGTAAGTAAAACAGTCTTTTATAATGATTAATATATTTTTATAAGCTTTGATTTCAACTTGCTATATCAAACGTCTCAAACTTCAGATGCTCTTCAGTAGCTGTGATAGGGGAAGGATTTGTTGTTGGGACATACTGACTGGTCGATTACTGAGAAGTCTTGAGAAAGATGACCATCTACCGGTCGAAATCGTATGTACTTCAAAGTATTTGGTCGGCTTTAGTACAGATGCTGGTCTCTGGATATGGGACAAAATGGATGGAGATCTAGTCTGCAACTTGTTGGTACAAGAACATACAGATCCTCTGACGTTGTTATTGGATATTGATGAGAATGTGGAGCCGATATTGAGGGAGGGGAGGTTTCTGGTCAAAATCAACGACAGATTCGTTTGCACGAGTGATGTCAACTCGGCCCAAGTCTGGGATCTCGAAGCCAAAAGTGTGGTAAAACAGGTAAGTGTAATATATGACTATGGGGGTTAAATTTACCACCTATATATAAATACTACTGCTGTCACTACCCTTCATTAACACCCGTGACGTCAATCAATGACCTTACACTATGTTCAGATTCGCTTACCAGCCCCAATAGACAGCCTACAACAACTTGATGACAAAAGTATTCTTTGTTGTGTTGGTACCGAATTGTACAGAATAAGTGCACCATTGCACCAGTCTTAAAGGTTTATTACATGAACATTAAAGTATACAATAAATGGTTGGTCAGCGCATATTATGAGGGTAATCTCCGCGGGTTTTTGGCGAGAATAACAGATTGGAACGGTGGGGAATGGGATCGTGGGGACCTGGAGTGGGAACATGGCCGGCACAGTATACCTGAAAAGGAACGGCGATATTTACTTTTTGACCAGACTAACTACTTGCCAAACCTAATTACAAAAATGATGACAAATGCTATATTAATAAAACTATAAAGCCCTTTATAAAACATTATATCAGATAGAACAAGGCAAACACCCACCTCCAGGTCTTGTGTGTCATTCCTGTTGTTGAAGTAGGTCTTCAGCGATAACCTCGAGCCACAGATCCAGCACTTGAAGCAGCCCTTATGAAACATGGCTCCGTCCTTTAAAGGCCCCACCTTGTCGTTTATATAAGTTGGTCGGTGACATCGGAAACAAGGTTCTCGCATTGTTATCTCGACTGCTCTCCCGGCCCCGGAACGAGATCCAGCCACTTGCGGGGATAATCAGCAAACATTGGCCGCCTCCTCTTTCCTCGCCGCGGCCGATCGCGCATGCTCTCGTAACACACGGATGTTCCAATTATAACACGCGACCTAGATTATATAATACTTGCTATAGATGAGACGTTCGCTCCTGATAGTCAACTTGAAATAATGGAACAGCTCCGCTCGCTTCAGGAGCTAGCATTACATTGTTTTTGCTACTTTATTATTGTTGTTGTTTACTTAAAAACATCGTTTACCAGCATTCATTGCAATAGTATCTGTTGACCTGACCCCTTTATTACATTTAGAATCTTCATTTGTTACATAAAATTCCCTTGTTTGGCGAAATACGTACGTTAAAGAATCAAAAAGTTTATTGTTTACCTCACGTTTGTAACAAACATAACGAAGATCGCTTGTCAATAAGTAATAAGGAGTCTCGTCGCTTTAAAAAATGAAAATTACAGTGTTCGCGCCTCCAGACACGATGAACGAGTTTTTTTTTCTCACCATTGAATCACTTTTCCGTTTTACAATGTAAAAAGTTGTTTTCTCTTTGGTGTTTTAGGACATGAGCTGGGAGGCGTTTACTTTGTCTTCTGTGACCTTCTGTACGTCACTAATTTGTATCACACTAGATTTATGGTTGTATGGCAGCTCTTATGCTCGCTTGCTGTTGTCCTCGTCCAAGGCCAGAAGCAACCCAATATCTTGTTACTATTGGCCGATGATTTGGGGTACGCAGATGTAGATTGGCACGATCCTAAGTATGTAAATAACAATAGTAGATCGTACTATTTCTTTAAAAACATATGGAAAACTACATTGAATATTGCAACTATATATATTGTCATTATGGCCTTGTTGTTTTTGTTGATTTTCCATTCTTCATTACTTACATACTAAGACAAATTGCAGATTGTCAACTCCAAACCTAAGAAAATTGGCCTTTAGTGACCACACGACCTACTTGACTAACTCTTACGTGAACCAGCTATGTACTCCGTAAGTACACCTTCTGTTACAGAGAAATATAATGATGGTACCTTAATTAGGCCTTATATCGTCCTCATTTAGAACTCGGTCATCATTGATGACAGGATACTATCCGTTTCGAACTGGTACACAGAACGGAGTATTTCTTCACATGGAACCAGCCGGAGTACCACTTGACTTTCCCTTTTTACCTCAGAATATGAACAAGCTCGGATACAAAAGCTATTTAGTAGGAAAATGGCATTTGGGATACTGTAAAAAAGCCTTCTTACCTACTAATCGAGGATTCAACTACTTTTACGGGTAAGATGCCACTTTAGACATACATTTTACATTTTAGGTACTACGGTCCGCAACAAGGGTACTTCAACCACAGTGCGGACATGTTCGACCGAAACTCTGGCAAAGTTGTCGGTGGACTAGACTTGTTTGAAGAGATTGACGGACACTCAATTCCTGTCATTGACAAGAACGGAGTATACTCAACCGTACGTTATAGTAATGTTTTTACTAGCCCATGCTGGACATACGGTGTTAAGGGGAGAACAAATAAACTTTGTAAACTCTATTTTAAAATTAACTTTCAGGATCTATTCACTGATAAAACCATGAAAGTACTCGACCAACACCCCAAGAATGTGCCGTTCTTCATGTTCCTATCGTTTCAATCTGTCCATGCTCCTCTACAAGCACCTGCCCACTACAAAAAACGTTGTTCCAAACTGTTTTATGACCCCAGACGGCAATTATATTGCGGTACGTTACAATTATCATGATCCTACTTTCATTAAAATCACATCTTGTTTACCAATATTCTTTAGGAATGCTAGCATCAATGGACGATGCTGTTGGAAGAGTAATAAACTACCTTAAAGCGAGGGGATTATACGAAAATACTGTTATCATCTTCAGCAGTGATGTAAGTCATTTACAGTAAGAATACTATGTTATTATTAAGCCTATATGATTTTACATAGTTTTTAGAACGGAGGAGATACCAAGTTTGGAGCATCCAACCGACCGTACAAAGGCGAGAAGAACTCGATATGGGAAGGAGGCACAAAGACTGTCACCATTTTCCACTCTCAGAAGTACATAAGACAGTTTTCTTACAAGCATGAGTAAGTTCTTGATTAAAATATTACAATTACAGTACAAAGGTTTACAGTGAGATCTAAACTGAAATTATACTTTCAGCTTGTTTCACGTAGTAGACTGGCATCCTACTCTACTCGGTATTGGTGGAGCAACTTTACCAACCTACGGTATGTTGCATTCTTTAAATTTATAAAACTAAGCACTATAATGTAAGCATGACGATATCAATAACGTAAGAAAGTAGTCATAAAATAAATTTAGGTGATGGCCTGAACCAATGGCCGTTAATATTAGGAAAGAAAGACGTGATCAAGAGAAACCAGTTCATCTACAACATTAACCATCCCATCTCGGCATTGAGAAAGGGAGAGTTCAAACTGGTTTATGAAACCAAAGATATATTCCGACACGATCCAACTGCCAGAGCCAAGCTTTACAAATTAACCGGTAAATAGTTTTACAATACGATTCTTCAACCATTGAAGTAGTCTGACAGTAAAAAAGTTGCAACATGTAACAACATTCACATTTCTGATATTTTAGTGGATCCATTGGAAACAACAGATCTATCCAAAAAGTATCCGTTAGTTGTGAGTGAGTTGATCAATAAACTTAAGGATTACGCCAAGAAAGGGAGGAATTCAGTGAGAAAACCTGTGGATGCAAGAGGAAATCCATCCAGATATAGCAATGTATATTACGGCGAATGGTGTTGATCGTTGACCTTGTTGTACATTTGTAAAACTTGTAAATAATAAACTTAATGATACACTATGAAAAGGTTTTCTTGGAGCTATTAAATGCAATGTATTAGATTGTATAAAAAACATTGAGCTACTGAATTCACCTTCAGAAAAAATGTTTAACAAAAATTTATTAGTCAAACTAATTACCATCAGCATTAACACTATCATCATGTTAAGCTTATTGATGCCAGTAGCGTAGAGTCCAGAACTTTTGGCTCGTAGCAACAGCTTCTTCGCAGCATCTTTTTCTCCTTTCTTTTTGTTGATCCATCAGGTTGCTTGCACCCACTTTTCACCTTTTTTCACATATCCCATCGACTTCAAATGCTTGGCAACTGACCCACTTGAACATTCTAGGTCTTTTGCTAACTTTCTGACTGTGATTCGGGGATCAATTGCGATCCGCTGCTTCAGTTCATCTTCGTTTATTGCTTTAGGCCTCCCTGAACTCTTTTCACTTTGAAGCGTTTCATCTCCGGAACGGAACTTTATAAACCAACGTTTTGTTGTCGCATAGCTCACAGTACCTTCTCCATGCGCTTCATTGATGAAATGAGTTGCGGAATTTGCGCTGCGACCTGCTTTGAACTGACTCCACAATATCACCCGAATCCATGATCTGTCCATAATATTCAAACGACTGAAACGACAAAACAGAACATGAAAATAGGGATGAAACCTACATTTTGTGAAAATATAGGTATCAAACTATGAAAAACAAAAAAATTATGGAATTATATATTTATTTTTTCCTGACTTTTTGAAAATTCGCTGTGAGACGTAGCTCAAACTTTTTTATACAATTTAAACTCCCAGACAAAATTTTGTTTTTTCTTGTGTAAAGTCTTTCTTTTTTGTGTCAACTCTTTTATCGTTGGGATTTTATTTTATTTTCTAAAATATTTCCAACTCTTTTGATATAATCTTATAAAATGGATACCAGTAAAGATTACCTTCGTTATGTATATGCAGGAAGGTGTAACATTGTAGCTTCACAAAATGGTATGATACAGTCAGTTGACAAGGTTCATTGTGCTGTGATATCGGGTGAAGCTGTCACAATTTTTAACTTGCGTACTTTGGAAAAGGTACGTTTGAGGATTGATTAAAGTAGTATATTTATTGATGTTGTTAAGTTTTTTATTAACATATTATATTATTTTTAGGCAGCGGAAATTAGAAGGGATGGGAAAGAAGTAACGGCTTTCAAGTTCAGTGACGATAGGAAGAAGTTGGCCATTGGCTACGCTGATGGAGAAGTGCATCTTTACATGAAGAACAAAAGTGGTAGGTAGTTTGATGAATATTGTCATTTTTTAGGTTATGATGAGCCAATTGTCTTCACTGGTCACAAAACTTCGGTGAACTGCATAGCCTTCAGTCAGGACGGGTTTACATTGGCATCTGGAGGAAGAGATTCTGTTATCGTGCTTTGGGATATTCTTAACGAGTCTGGATTGTATCGTTTGAATGGACACACAGCTACAATCACTCAACTTCAGTTTACTCAAGACGACAAATTCTTGATCTCAAGGTAAGTTTTGTGATCAATACATACATTTTTGGGTAACAAAAATTTGTGTTTGGGCAACAATTTATTAAATCTTATAATTTAGCTCGAAGGATACCCAATTAAAGTTTTGGGATTTGGATTGTCAATCATGTTTCTACACGATTGCTGACTGTTCTACTGAGATCTATGCATTTTCTTTGTTGAAACAAGATCGGCTATTAATTGTTGGATCTGCTAACATGGAGATGGACGTGTATGAAGTGACATGGCTAGAGAATAAAAAAGAAGGCGAAGAGGAAGAAGATGAAAACACTGAAGAACCTAATGCTAAGAAAACATTGTTAATAGGATCAGACGCATTTAATGAAGAGAATGATCAAGGAAACGAGGTGGTTAAGATTAGAAAACGAGGACATTTAATTAGGAAGGCTAAAGGAAAGGCTTTACAGTTAGTAGCTACTGCTGACGAGGCTTTACTGTGTTGTTTGGTAAGTTACTGATGTAGTGTGTTTATTCTTTAGGGATCTGACACGCTAATTGATGTGTTCCGTGTGTTCACAACAGACGAATCCAAGAAAAGGCTAAAGAAGAAACTAAATCATGCCAAGAAACAAGAAGGGTATGTTTTATTTCTGTTACGTCAATCGTTTACAACTTTGTTGATGCTTAATTTATTAACTTTTTACGTTTTAGTACAAACAAGATGACAGAGAACGAGGTATCACGAGATCTGTCAATTCTTCTTCAACATGTTGGAACTGTCGAGACGGCCTTTAAAGTGAAATGGGCCGATTTTTCATCTCAAATTAAGACATCTGATGACAAAAGAGAATACCGTCTATTCACGTTACTCAAGAATAATACTGTTCATGGCCATTTGGTAGACTTGGGTGTGAAAACTAATGTAATTGAATCAGAGGCTGCTGTATCTTTGGATCAGGTAATTTACATATTTTTGTTACAATTTAGGTATCTTTTATAAAATTATGAAATAAAATTTTATTTTGTAAAATACAGGCTAGTTAATTTAGCGAGGGCACCGAACAGATATCCGAGCATTAGCTGTAACGTCCAACAATGCTGCCTTTGTTTCTGCGTCTTCAGATTCTGCCATCTTATGGGATATGTCATCGTTGATGCCGGTCAATACTTTCTCAGATCCTCAGATGAGAGATGTTACTAGTGCCATCTTTTCTCCTAATGACAAACAAGTCATCTTTGGTACAAAAGATGGATCTTTGTTCTTGTTTGATGTGCCTACTTGTGCATTATTAGATACTTTGATTAAAGTACACGAAGGAGCTATCTTTAGCTTAAAGTCTTTACCTAACGGCCATGGTTTCGTATCTGCTAGTGCTGACAAAAAGGCTTTGTTTTGGAGATATTCAACTATTACTGAATTCGAAAGGTAATTGTTTGTAATTTCAAAATGAATAGCGGAATAATTACGATAATTTATATCAAAATTATTGATTACGGTAATTTATAAACGAATATTCCAGAAAACGCCTGACATTCAGACAAGAACGATCTTTAGAGCTGCCAGATGAAATATTGTCTATGTGTATTTCCCCAAATTTTAAATTTATTGCCTTTGGACTACTGGACAATACGGCGAAGGTCTACTTCTTAGACAAGTTGAAGTTCTTCGTATCTTTGTATGGTCATTCCCTGCCCGTCACTTGTTTGGATATTAGCCCAGATAGCAAATTGATAGCTACTGGCTCAGCTGACAAAAGTGTTAAGATTTGGGGATTGGACTTTGGAGATTGTCATCGTTCTTTGTTTGCTCATGATGATACGTAAGTATTTCACATTATAATTCATTAGGTTTTTAGTGTAACATGCGTTTTGTTTAACAAAGATGTGGAAGAACAATTGATTTGGTCAGCTGGAAAAGATGGGCTGATCAAGCAGTGGAACGCCAAGAAGTTTGATCAAGTTCAAGTTTTGGATGGACATTTTGGTCCCATTAGGGTTATTGCGTCTACGTCTGATGGTGCCACTTTGGTAGGTTTTATCGTAATTTTTTTTCGAAACTATAAAATTAAAACTTACGTTTTAGAAATAACAAAAGTTAAATTTACTATTTAGATATCAGCATCGCACGACAAAGCAATCAAGCTGTGGGAGTTGAGTGAAGAGATTATAAAGCCGGCTGAAGAAGAAGAGAGACTCAGAGAAAAAGAGGATCTGGAGAAGATTGTTGATGCAGAAGACATCGTACCAGGCGAGAATCCTGCTAACAGTGTTTCAATGGCCGCCAAGAAGAATATCAGCTCGGTAAAAGGAGCGGAAGGCATTCTTGAAGCCGTCGAAATCTACCGTGAGGAAATCTTACTGAAGAAACAAGATCCAAAGCACAGGCCTCATACTCTGGTCCAAGCTTACAACAGTCCATCATTAGATCACTTTATTCTTGATGCCATTTCCAAAATAAGTTCTGCACATCTTGAACGGAGTTTGTTGTTGGTACCGTTTGACTTTGTGGTTGACATCTTGAGTGCTTTGAACAAATGTGTATCAGCACATTACAGGCTGGAGTTGGCATCGAGGGTTATTCTGTTCTTGTACAAGTAAGTTTATATTATGTTAAATTAAACTTTATACGTTTTGTGAGTTACATAACTAATACAATTGTTAAACTAACGATAACTTATTTTAAGGGTAAATCTGAATCAGCTGACCTCACAGAAAGAATTGTTGCCATTCTTATTGAGCATCCAAAAAACTCTTCCTCGCGACATAAAGGAATCCTCGGTAAGTTTTTGACAATTCAATATTAATCTCCCAAAGTTTAATTAATCTCAGTAAAGTTTAGTCTTAAGATTTGACTAATCCATGGATGTTTATAGGACATGGTCAACTTCAACTTGGCTGCCCTTAGATTGCACAAGGCATCAATAGAAGACCGCACACAGATAAAGTTGTTCAGGAACGTTGAGAAAACGAAAAAAACCAAAAAAGCGATTGTGAAGCCCGTGGTTTTGTGAGGCTATCGTTACTTGTTAATCCATGTTGTTGAGTTTTATTGTTAATAAATCTGTTTTCTACTTTGGGCGAGAAAGGAAGTCTTTTTTCGAGCTTTTTCCCCATTCGCTTTTTTGGCCCTGCGGAAAAAGACATTCCCCTCAGTTCCAAGTTTTTTTGGTTTCAAATTTATTGGACTACGAATATGCGTATTTGAAACAATGGCAAACCCTCGCCTCCCGCTGCCACGCCTGTAGAACATGAACGAAGATCACTGATGTTGTTCTTCGCCTGGTCGTTGGTCTCGTCGGCTGTTCAGTACGCCAGAAGACGACGATTGTACAACTTCCTCAAGTTGTACTTGTCGACCCCCGAGGGACAAGAACAATGCCTGATATGTAGATCGAGGAAGGCATATCTACGAAACCTTCTGTGCAAACCGTATCGGTACGGTGAGATCAGGAAGGCTCCAAGTGAACCAATCCTAAATGGGTTGCGCAACAATGACAACGTCATTTACCATGCTGACGACGTGGAGCTCATTGCTGTAGATCATATTGTAAGTATCTGATTTGAAGTTGAGTATTTTTAGAAGTTCCGCATCAATGATTGGATTCCGTCGTTTGTCAATGAACAACATATCGTTATTATGCCCGATGATGTACGAGTAACATTCATAGTAAAAATAAAATCAGAAGATGTTCCATCTACAAGCAAAAGCGACTACATCAAACTGGCTACTTCAGGGGTGGCACAAAACAATACTACTAGTACATATCAAGTGAGGATCTAGTCATTGTATACCTTTTATGTTATATTTAGTGTATGATACGTCCTAGACGTCCGGGTATGCAGTATAACTTAATCTTTTACTTTTCAGATCGATCAATTTGCAAATAGAATAGCGAGGAAGAAGGATGACTATGAGCAAATTCTGTACGAAGCCAACATAGATAACTTCTGTCTGATTGTAATTTACTGGACCGAAGGTATCTTAAGTGCCTTGAACGGGAGCTGGAGAGTATATGAAATATGTTGTAAGTAATTTTACGTTTCTTCAAAAAACAACTTTTTTACCTTTATGTGATTTGTCATTACATAGTAATTTTAAAAATTGAAAAAAGAGAAAAAGTATACATTATGTTATAACACTAACAACCATTACTTTCAGCCATACAACTGCCAGACCTCCGAGACTTATTCAATGAACCCGATAAGATTTCCCGAGCTGATTCCAGGTCCTCGTTATCAGTTTATCCGTCCTTTAGGTCTTTAAATGCATGTAGAAACACTCCACCTCAGCGAACATACGACACCCACTCTCGACCCTACACTCTACTAGAATGGTTATACCAAAAAGAACATGGTATAGAGAGCAACTACCCGTACCCAAATGATAGACGATCCAAACTGTCAAACAGGTTACCGTATGCCAGTGACACTGCCCTGAATCTCAACTTTGAGCGGTAAGTCCAGTATAATATTGCTGTAATTAGCGACATAGTATAATTGGCACTGAACCTCTATTTCCTAACGTAAAAAGGATAATGTTGTTGTAGTTGAACAACATAAATAGTTTAATTTTGTTGAACTAAAAACAGCACGTTACGCAACATGTAGTTTATGATATTATGTTGTTTACCTCACAAAACAACTTGATTCAATTGTCATCATGACAGAATATAAGTTTCTACCATAGTTTCCTAACCTTGGTGATCGATGTTTAACATCTTTTGTAAACACATTACTCTGTAAATTAATTACCAAACAGGTGATGTCCATATTACTTTAGAAACAGTTAAATATAATAGTAAATTCCAGACCAAGCTCATTTCTTTTTTACTTCAGTAGGTTGCGTGTGAAGACTTTTACTGCCAAAATGAGTCCTCCAGACAACGTCTAGATAATCATTCTCTTTTAGGCAATATAAAGTTTGAGGACCGGCCGTCTACTTGGGGAGGGCCAACCTGATTAAAGAAACAAAATAAAATTAACGCGTTCTTGACATGCCCCTCTTTTCAGCCCTACTCGATTTTCGTCGGCCGCTCCTAGTTCTTCATCTACTTGGAACCGCTCCCAAGCGCTATCACACCGCTACAGAAGTCTTTCACCGTCCACGGTCTACTCCAAGTCACAGGCCTCCTCCTACCCCAACTACCACACCTACAGTAACACAACATCATACAAGGACAGCTACCGAGAGTACTGCAACAACACAACTTCATGCAAGGACAGCTACCGCGACTACTGTAACAACGATCAGACAGTGCCAGTCTATTTCAAAAACCTGCGGAGTAGATGTTTGAGCCAGAGATCCTCAACAAAGACTAATAATAAGTGAGTGTATAACGACAAAACAAAGTCATTTGTCTTATTTTGCAGTTCGCACACAGAGAATCCCTCCAGATCCTCCACTATTGCCGACTTTGAGGAAGCTGAACTCAAGACCGAGCCGTGAGTTTTATCTGATTTAATTAAACCTATTTGGCCGTCTCTTACCCATGCCCCTTAACCATGACTATTTATGGCATTTTTGACGTGAAAAGGCGTGTCAAAAATAGCCGGAATCAACTCGCGATTTGTGCCAAATCAGCCATGCTAATCCCATTACCATGTTTTGCGGAAATGTCTGACATGGTATGGTTGTTTGTGGCTAAGGATGTAAATAATATTATATCCCGCAACATTACTTATTCATTAAGGGTAGCCATTTATTCACATCATTCTCGAGGCCCATTTAAGGTCAGAGAGTCTGAAATCCTCTTATTCCTCAAGTTCAGCCTTTATTGCAGTCTGAAAATATTGTAGTAGGTTGAGAGACGTCAATATTAATATTATGGTAGGCTAAGCAAATGCTAGTATTTAAATATCAAAAGTGTTTATATAGGCTTACCTAAAATAACCCAAAAGCTAAAACAACGTTTGTCCCAAAATATTATAGTAGGTCAACGAAACGTTAAAGTACGTTAATGTAACGCGATAACAACATTCCAGTCTAGCCCGTCTCAGTTTACGTATCCTTAAATAGCATTATCCGAATACATTTACTTTCCAGGGTTGTTTCACACCAAACTTGCCCAGAAGATAAGGAATATAATACTGAAAGTGCCCGAGATAGGGTTACTCCGCTCGTCTCCCAACTTCAGCAAGAACTTAAGAATAAACCTCGACCCACTAAAGCTGATCTACTTCAACGTCTACATTCGGATCTCCCCAACAGGATGGAATCGGCCATGTTGACAATCGAGGTAAGTCAAGAGTTAAATTTATTTTATGTAGTCCAAAAAATAGATAACTGTGACACATTTTTTGTAAAATCTATAAAATCTGTTGTCTCGACATAATTATTATTATTGTCACTCCGACGTATTTTCTGTGATCTATGACATTTTCTGTAAATATAGAAAAACTGTCATGTTGATTTAATTTTTGTAAAGTACGACAAACTTCTATAAAATTTATAAAATATATCATTATGATACGTTATTAGAAAAAAAATGCGTCATCCTGACACCTTTTTTAGAAAACAATGAAATTGTTTTTGTACAAAAAACTGTTTTTCATAGAAACTATCGGTTTTATTTGTATAAACTACATGAAGAACTCAATCACGTGAGATAATAACCTATATGACATGATTGTCGTCAGTTTTATTCGTAAGATTCTACAGTTCTCTTCAGAAAAGCTGCCGTTTGGAAGGTAAACGTCCTCCAAACTTCTTTTTTCGAACAATTCTCTTCCTTTTTTATATTTTCTTATCCGTCCCCTAATCAATTTTTGCCGTCAAAGCCAACTTTGGTGGTGTAGAGCACTTAATTCGAGAAAGGAGGCCCAAATTAATGATCAACAGGGTGTTTCGTCTTCTGTTTCAGGTGGATTTGACTGCTTAATATCCTAATTGTTTTAGAACGGCACTCAGCGAAAACGATTTAATAGTTTAACTCCATTTTCTCTCGGGTCAAACGTCGAGTGGGGACACGATCTGGTCCAACACAATTCAGGTAGGCTTTTGGTTTACGTGGCTTTCTAGGTTTTATGTGATTAGGCAAGGCATTATAATGCAACTTTTGTTTTAAATCTTGGTCATAATGATCCTGGCTGTCATTGGCAATCTATAAGAATATTTTTTTGCTGTTACCTATATAAAATAACAGTACATTATCTTATCTATAAAGCGCTATGGTACATTGTGCTACTTGTTCAGATAGTCGTCGCAGATCTCTGAGTCCTCTATCACTGTCACTGTTGGCTAACTACGGGTCTCATGAACAGATTGGACTGGTTAATACTCATAATGTTCCACTAACTACTGACTTTGTATTTCGACGTCGAAGATCTACAGCGAGCTCACGAAGAAGGTTTCACAGCATGGCATCAGGTCCTGGAGATGAAAATTTGAAAAAGATGAATGTCAAGCCACCAACGGTAAGATTGATAATCTTACTAAACAAAAATAGTTGTAGATATTTGTTATTTATAGTAATATTCATAAATACTTTATTGTAAAATATTATATGTGTTTAGGTATTAATTTACATTGGAGACAAGCCCGAGTTATACGCAAAGATGGTGGCGGCTTTGAAGAACATTTTGCCGTCTGACATGTACACCTTGACTCATCTCAGCACCAAAGGCCTCAAGTACCATCCTTGGATAGACGAGAACGCTGCTTGTTTACTGATTGGAGATACCAAGTTGCTAGACGATGTCAGTTGGTCTAGACTACAGAACTACTTCATTCATTCAGGAAAGATTTTGTTTGTTTGCCAAAATAGTTTATGTGCATCACTTACCCATTGTGACTCTGTAAAGAAGCAGACGTCTATGTTAAAGAGTGCTTTTGGCAGTAAAAATGCGATGAACGCCTTAGGGAAAGAGTTCGAACAGTTTATGAAGAGGACAGTTAAATTGATGAGCAAGAAGAAGGAGATTAACGAGACGTTCCATGCCAAAGATCCTGTTGGTGGGTACAAGTACTCTGTTGTACTGAACTTGAAGAAAGGTAGGCTTAATTTTTAAAAAATATGGTTATACTTAAAAATTTATATTGAATTTTGAAATTACAATTTATTTTTACAGACCAACCTCTACTGTTGTATATGGAGAACTCTGAACATCAAGCAAGTGCTCTCTTCTCAGATGCCACAACTGAATTATTGTTATCGGAAGCTGGACGTCCACTGATATCGGAAGCCATGTCTAGATTAGGTATTCAGATCGAGAGTGACTTACTCCAAGTTGCTCCAAAACGATCTTACCTAATCTGTCAAGAAGATAAGGTTTTGTTTGACACAAAGTTGAAGTACGGAGTAGAGCTGGGTTCTCATCCTAAAATGATCTTCAGGCCAACTGCATACCTGGAAAGCGAGGATCTACCTTCACCGTCGTTTGAAATGATGCCAGTTGAAGTGAGGAGAAGGAAAAGTGGTCTACCGAGTGAAGAGTTTGATAGTGAAAGGTACTTTAATCAACTGAAAACTAAATATTTGGGAAGGATAATGTTGTACGCTCCTGTTTGTGAAAGCACCATAGCTGTTTCAAAGAGGTAAGAAGGGTTTTGGTAATATAATTGACTTGCTAATATCCTTTTTTTCAAGATTTTTTGATCTTATAATAATTTTTTAAAACTTGAAATTAGGTAAACACTTTGCGTTTTCAGTGTGAGCTCGTTTACCGAAAATGATGGAATACTAGTAATCGCTGGTCAACAAACTAATGGTGTTGGCCGAGGTGGAAACCAATGGCTAAGTCCGAAAGGATGTGCTATGTTCACCTTCGACTTTGATATTCCACTGGATTCAGAATTAGGCAGAAATATTGTTTTTGTTCAACACATTCTGGCAGTTTCAATTGTCGAATCGGTATTGGAATTGGTGGATGTACTCGACTTTCCTTTGAAAATCAAATGGCCTAATGACATTTACTACATGAGGTCGTACAAGATGGGTGGAGTGCTGATCGGAGGTTCTACTCAAGGTGGATTCATGAAAGCTTTCGTTGGTAAGGCATTTATTTTTGTTGAGGTTGACTATTATATGTCATTTGTTTACTATACGTATAATTATTCTATTTGAAGTTGGATAACAATAATTTTGTTCATTTTAGCTGCGGGTATAAACGTGGCCAACTCTCAGCCGACTGTCTGTATCAACGACATGTTACCAGTGGATTCAAGGACGGTATTAACGGTGGAAGAAGTGTTGGCTATGATCATGAACAAGTTCGAATACTTTGCCGATCTTTTTGTTAGAAAAGGAAAGCGAGAGTTTTTGGCTATCTATCACAAGCACTGGTTACACACTCGAGAAGAAGTGACAATCATCCACGAGGAGGACGGCCAGAAGGATAAGGTCGTGATCAGAGGACTAGACGAAAATGGATATATGGAGGTTCGTTCAAAGCATTCCGGCAAAGTCTTTAGCGTCTTTGACGATGGCAACACTTTCGACATGATGAAAGGTCTCATTCACCCGAAAGGGAAGTAACATACGAGTTTATTTATGGTATTTACAAGGCTAAGTAAACAACTAACAGTATATTGTATAGTAAATTTATAGTATTGTTGATAGGATCAGTGAATGAGCAATATTGCATCAGTTAAAGCAGTCGGCTGTTTCTCCACCGTACTCAGCATTCAGGTTCAGTTCTCCGATGTCAAAGGTCTTTTTGGCAATCTTTCCTTGACTGATAAAGGAATCAGGAATGACGATTTCAATCTTTTTGAAGCATAGAGCATCTGGGTCCCGACATTTGTGGTAACTAAATTTGGCAAGTACATAAGTAACAGCTACAGTGTTCAAAGTCAGAAGTACATTATACTGTAGTACACTTACATGTTGAGTTTGGGGTCAATGCTGGTGTACTCGGTTTCTCTGCCTGACAATTCGAATCTGCCATCTGAATCTGTTTCTCCTTCTGCCATCAGATCATCTAGGTCCGTTCTGTCTACGTCATACAACTTCACCTTGACCTTGGCAGCTCCTTCTCCATTACACTTCAGTACTCCTCGTACTGCGGCACTTTGTTCGGTACCAAACAAGTTGGGAATACCAACAACGACACTAAATATTAAGAAAAAACACAACAAAGTTCTCATTTCGATGTCTGTGGATATAAACGGCGACCTTTCGCTTACTTATTTTGTGTAAATCGTAGTGATTTCTCAATGATTGATTGAAAACAGAGCATAGTAATAATGGTCGGGTGTATTGTCAAAAGCCAGCATTAATAGCGCGTCACTGCTCGTCGTGACTCATGACTTTTGTTACTTTAAGTTCATAACATAAAGTTAGGTAGAACAACAAATGGAGTTGTAAAAAGGATGATTTGTAACAACAACTCATCTGTTTAGGTACCTAGAACTTGTCATAGAGAAACTTAAGGTTGGGTGAACTTTGAGTGGTCATCTTTCAAGTGCTAGTCACTTCCGCTTGTTTTTTAACGATTTCAATCTTAAAAGTCAATTTTTGATCGTGTATAGTAAGAAATAGTACGCTGAATACGGAAGGGAAGGATTCACGTCAGAAAGGTTAACTTTGTTTACAACTCGGTTACAGAAAAATGAATTATTACCCGCGGGAGTTTAAAAACGAACGATACTTTGTTTAGTAGTTATAGAGCGAGATGAACGCATTGTTGGCAGTTGTCTTGGTTGTCGCCGTCACACTTCACTGTGAGGCTTTGGGCACGTTACAATCGTATGCCGTGAAGGGAGTTCTTAGATGTGACGGAAAGCCGGCTGCTGGAGTTGTAAGTTTTTGACAACTTTTTGGACTTTTTATGATGACTTCAAGACAACTTTACTGTCGTCTAATGTTATTGCGTAGCGTATAACAACGGTAGTGTAAAATTTATTTTAAATTGCCACCAAACTCACTTTTCCCGCTTTAGAAGCTCCGTTTGTACGATGTAGACACCTTGAGCATTGACGACAAACTTGACGAGGGAGTGTCTGACGATGAAGGCGAGTTCAGATTGGAAGGATCCACCAAGGAAGTCGGTAACATCGACCCCAAACTCAACATCTACCACCACTGTGGAGACACTGGAGGCATTCTTCAGAAGTGTACCAAGAAAGTGGAGATCGTATTGGACAAGAAGTACATCACCAAAGAGTCAGAGAAGGCGGCTCAGACCTTCGATGCTGGAGAAATCAACCTGAACGCCAAGTACGGTAACCAAGGCCGTGACTGTGTAAACTAAATATTCGATCTAATAAACCATATATTTTTACAATTGTAATATAAATTAAGATTTCATTATGTAGACAACTTGTAAAAGGGCTACAAATAGTATTAGTAGATTAGTAGTGCCCTATAGATGTGTAACAATTTCAACAGATATAGACAATTATCTATAGATTTTCGAAATGGAAACTTGAATACAGTAGAATAAATTCATATTTATACTTGTCACTTTTTTAAACTGGTCGTTTATGGGATCTAAAAGCTTATTTCAAAACTTACTACGTTCGGCTAATCCACGACATCTACCCTTGATACAAAAGAGTCCGCCCTTGATCAGTAGCACTCAGATGCTAAAAGAGTAACTTTTATAATCTAAAATATGTTATATGACAATAAATAACTTAAGAATGCCTAAACTTTAGCCAAAAACGATCAGACGCAGACTTCGAAGAGCTGTCGCCAACCTTCCTGTCGCTGAACATTCGCGACGAAAAAGCGGCCAAAGACTTTGTGGATAGGCTTTACCCGAACGAACGGAAGATGATATTCGATATAATTCAGCGGAGAAGAGCAAATCAGTACAAGACGGCCGAACAACAAAACAAGGAGAAGCTAAAGGAAGTGCACCATGAGGAACTAGTCGGTATCTGGTGGATGACCTACACGCCCTACTTCTTATACGGCTTCATTGACAACACAGCCATGATCGTCGCCGGAGAATCCTTCGATTTGTAAGTTTAGCCAGTTCTACATTTAGTTTTACTTTGCCCATGTTGTTTATATTATAGTACATTAGTTTTTAATCTTATATTATCTATAACTTTATATTATACCAATTTTTATTTTAATTTATTGCATTTTAGAACAGTAGGCCAAGCCATGGGAGTATCTGTAATGGCTGGAGCAGCTTGTGGTAATATTGTGTCTAATTTGATTGGGATATACTTAATACACTATGTTGAGATGGGCGTCGCACAAGTTGTTGTGTAAGTGAAACATCATTTTTCACGTTTTAGGTATTTTTCATATACAACCGTTCGTAAAAGTTATAACTACAAAAATCTAACATTACTTACATTTTCAGAAGCCCAAACCTACAACCAGGCCAAGAAAACTTGTGGCCGGTGCGATTTGTGAAAAACCTCGCTAGACTGACAGGAATTTTCTCCGGATGTATATTAGGAATGTTTCCACTGTTATTCTACACAAACGAACGACAAGACGATATTGACAATGACCAATCGCTCGAACGAAACGGTAATTTGAATGATGTGTTAGGAAAAAGAAAGACAAAGAGCGTGATCTCGTGATGTAGTGGTTATCACATCTGTCTAACATACAGAAGGCCGGCGGTTCGAGCCCGCCCGAGATCAAAACATTTTTTGCCATTTTTCTTATTTTGACGAAAAAGTTTTTAGGTATACCGATTATTATTGTTTAGTTTGTTATTTTATTGTATAATATTAATATTTCTTGTCCTTATTATTACTTTACGAATGCTTATAATAACATAGGTTTATATTTTTTGTTGTTGTTATTGTTGCTTTCCGGTTTCAGAAAACGAATTCCGACACGACTGGCTATCTGAAGTGTGTTTGGCTCTCAACCAACCTGTCATCTACGATGGTATGCAACACGACTTTGATGTAACAAGCGCGACCGCAGAGGAAGCCACAGAAATCGGTGAAGGGACTCCAGAAGGCGACGATCCCAGATTCTACGAAAAAATCATTTTAAACGAGAAAGAAGGTGGAGCGACTCCCAGTAAACTCGAGTATTAGATCTGAATAAACGTTTGACCCACGAGATTCCCCCGTCGATAACCATCTTTTAGGTGTCTTCGCCTATTTTTAGGTAATAAAACAGCCTAAAACAGGTTTTTATCGCCTAATTGTCTCCAGAATGGTGGAATTGAACGAGAAACAGAAGAAGATTCTCGGATCCTGGACTCTCGAGAGTGGAAATGGTCCTCAATTCGATGCTTACCTCCAGGTATGTTAATATAGGTTGTTGTTCATGGTTTAGGAAGTCGGAATCCCAGTTTTCATGCGGATGATTGCCAATTCCACCTCTCCGATCGTTCATGTTACCTTAGATGGGGAAGAATGGACTATTAAAATGGAATCCACATTCAAATCAGACCAATGGCAATTCAAATTGGGCGAAAAATTCGTTCAAAAAACTGTCGATGGCAGAGAATTCTGGTAAGGATGACATGTTTTCTAGAAAGTGACCGGTTTTTTGAAATTTTTCCAACAAAGAGGCCAGTTGAGGAATTATCAAGTTTAAAAGACGCTTTCTGACACCGTGAAGGAAGGTGTGCCCTAGAAATTTACCCCCTGTTTTTATTTGATAAATAGATGACTAGAACCGTTCTTAGGCACATGGTAAAGCGATTTTGGCTAAAATGCCGTTTTGGCATTTTTATGTCACTTTTTGACATAAAACAGTTTAAATTTTGTAAAAATCCAAAAATGCTTCAAAAGCTTTGGAAATGTGCATGCATACGTTTTCGACCATGCTGAACAAAATTGTAATTGAAAATTTTTTTCTATTGTTACCGTAACCTACCGTAATCCAATCGGTCGGTTATAAAAGTGCAAATATCTAAAAATTTAGCACGGATCTTCATGGACAACTTTTACATATTCAAAATCCACATCTAACAGATATTGATAGACTATACGTTCACTTCTAGGGCTGCGTATTTTGGGGATTTTTGGCCATTTAAAAAATTACCGTATCTTACGGTCAAAATATTTAAAAATCATAACAGCGTTTGTACTGCTGTGAATAGTGTCAAATTTGGCATGGTTATGTTTTTGAATCTTCTAAACAAAATCATAATTAAAAATTTTTTTCTATTGTTACCGTAACCTACCGTAATCCGACCGGTCGGTTATAAAAGTGCAAATATCGAACAACTTAGTGAATTACATATCAAATTGTAAAACAAGTATAAATTTTTTATAACTTTAGTAATAATGCCAATGTTTAAAACATGTTATAAAACATGAAAGGTTCTGACTAAACGTTTTAGCTATAATTATTGTTTACTACTGTAACCTTATTAAAAACTATAAAACTTTTTTTTGCTGCTACTGTTACAATTTTAACTGATTTTATACCTTCAACTTATTTTTAACAGTAGTAAATGTTCGATATTTGCACTTTTATAACCGACCGGTTGGATTACGGTAGTTTACGGTAATCCTAGAAAAAAATTTTCAATTACAATTTTGTTCAGCATAGTCGAAAACGTATGCATGCACACTTCCAAAGCTTTTGAAGCATTTTTGGATTTTTACAAAATTTAAACTGTTTTATGTCAAAAAGTGACATAAAAATGCCAAAACGGCATTTTAGCCAAAATCGCTTTACCATGTGTCTTAGAACGGTCCTAGTCATCGATTTATGAAATAAAAACAGGGGGTACATTTCTAGGGCACACGGCCGTTTCAGGATGCTTCATGGTCTCAGAAATCGTCTTTTAAATTATTGCTTGAAAAGTGAGAAAATATTGCTTTAAAGTTTTAAATATGATGTTAGAGTAATTTTAGCTGGCTAATATTCAAATTTTGTTCTGTTCAGGTGTGTAGTAGAACTGACAGAAGATGGCAAGATAATCGAGCGTCAGTCGAACGTCGAAGGCTCGACCAGTGTTCCGTCGACTATTACTCGGTGGGTCGATGACAATGACAAGATGCACGCTGTGTCACAAGCCAATAATGTTACTTGTGAGAGGATCTTTGTCCGAGTTTAATTCAGTGAAGTTCAACATGTTTTACAACAAGAATTATGCAAAATATATCTTTATTAAAACAATATTTGTTAAATAAACAAGGAATATGCAAATCACAACAATATGCAAGAGATATGCTTTGAGATTGTAATCAACAGGTCGGTTAGAAGTGTAGTATCGAGACAATATTAGTGTAATATCATAAAATATATTAGTAAACAATAGTAAGTTTAGCTATAACATCTTCAAGACAAGGCAATATTAAATCAAACACATCAGTTATCTTAATATTTAGTAAAATAATTAGTACAAGTGTAATAACATGAAAATTGTTTCAAGAATTGAGATATTCAGTCCAATGTTAACACCGTTAGTCTTGTATTGTGACATTAGCAAGTAGAGTCATTTGGTACCTCTTCCACCTTTCTGACAGAGAGTAGGCCACACTCCTCTGTCCCCAATATCGGGTTGATGTCCTTCATCTTGTAATCGTTGGCTGGATCCCACGAGTGTTCGGCCCATCTAGCTGGCTGTCCTCGGCTTAAAACGCCAAAGACAAGTGCTCCAAGGACTAAGAGTGCTGACAGTACTATCATACTCAGACGCCAGAACTTGACTTCACTAAAAATATAACAATACAAATTTTTAATTTTCAAAATTATAAAATAAAAGATTGTAATTTAAAGTGATAACTTATTAGCTTAAAATGACAACTTACTTGTTAACAGTCAGAAGAAGTACCATCGATGGTACTATAGTCAGCGCCAGTCCTATTGGTACTTGGAATAAGGATATAATGTACTGAGTGAAAAAGCGGCCATAAATTACAGTATGATACAAAAAGCCGAGAGAAGTGAACCCTAAGGGCATGATTGAGACCATTAGCAACCATTTACTGCTGAAAGAGATTAAAGTTATTATAAAAGTGAGTAAGATAATGTTATTATTTCTTATAAAAGTGAATAATACTAATTTTAACATAAGTATTATATGTAAAAACAATATAATGCTAGCCTAAATAGTTAATAAAGTAATTTACTTGTAAGCAAAGTGTTCGTTCGGAGGTACGGCAGCCAGTACGAACAGGAAGACGGCTGTCACAACAAAGGCGAACGAGTTGAAGAAGTTGGCCTTCAGTTTGGAAGAGCATCCACTCAGAAGCTTGTCGAAGATCACCGAGAACAGATGGACAAACGTCTAAAATCAACAATAATCAGATATGATGTTACAGTAGACTATTAAACAACAAAAAAATCATCAAAATATTTCGAATACCCTTCGTATTGTAACAACCTACAGGAGCCAAGAAGGTGACAGAAGTCAGTGAACACAACTTTTCGAATTTTAAAACTTTCAAAAAGTATATCGGCAAGAAAGTGGCAAAGAACACAACAGCACTGAAATATGCAAATGTCGCCACCAGCACCGACCAGGTACTGTAACTTTTGAGCAAAAGTCGAGTTACGTTAGCCTTCAGAAGTCTGTTCTGCTGCTGAAAATACAAACATCAGCTCTCTTAATCCAATTTAAGTATATATATTCCATTATAACATTAAATGACAGGACCACACAACATAAAAACATGCATACTGTAGATTGTGTATCCACAGTAACGCTTACCTGAGCTTTTCCAGTCAGAATCCGGTTCAGTTCGATGCCGTTGACCCATCTGTGGTCTTGAGGATCGTCACGGTAAAACAGAATCCACAGCAAAGCGACGATGAAGGTAGAAGCCGAGAAGAAGTAATGTAAGAGACCAATATGGTCGTTGGATCCATTTAGAATTCTGATGGTGAGAAGCCAGTAGATTCCGGGTGAAAACTAAAACAATATTGTCAAATATACGTCTCCTTATAACCACAATCTACTGTAACACTATAAAGTACAAAACGTTTAGGTAAAACAGCATAAAAGGCTTACTTTACATTAGTTCAAATACTATATTATGCTACATAACATGTACATATAAACATACCAATATAGCTCCAAACGAGATGCTGACAAACAGTAGTTGTTCCTTTAACGTGGCCCAATTAGCAGCATTTCGGCCGATGACTGACAACGTTGCTGCACAAGTTGCTCCTTGGATCAACCGTAAGGCGATTACCATCCAAATACCTAAATATATATGACGTTACAACAACAGTTAAACCTTGTGTGTCTAACAAAACATGTTAATAATAAATTACTCAAACCATACCTGAATGTAGCAAAGATGGTTGTAACAGCAATAGCAGTGTTGACGCTAACAAACAGAATCCGATGATGACTCTTGATCCTTGATATTTGAAGAGTAATGTCAATGGCCAGAAAGCTATCAGCATTCCCAATCCTGGAGCACTGAACAGTAGCATTTCTGTAGCCAGCTCCAACCAGTCACGGTCAAACAGTCCAGAATCTTCAGAATTCTTGGCACCATCGTGCAGCGCTTCAGAATCAGAAGTCTTCAAACCATCGTTACTTGTTCGGTCATCCTCAACTCCAATCAAGACAGATTTCCTTGAATCCACAACTTCTGTAGGCTTCGGAGTCTCACGTTTACTCGTCACAACTGTAGAAGTTGCTACAGTAGTTGTAGTAGCCTCCGTAGTGGTAACTGTACTAGAAACTGTAGTTTGTACTGCTGGATTCGTGAGTATCGTTGGCTGTCGGTTTCTGCTTTTGTACGGTCTTCTGGTCCTCCTGGTATCCGGCTTCTCCGTGGCTTCTGTAGCCAGGAATCCGGATTTGTTCTCCAGAGGGTGAGCTGTAATCAGTTTACTGTAATCTTTAATCTATTAACTTTCGTATGTTTTCATTTCTTTGAAGTATACACTTCAATATTGAATTTCAAGTCATTTTGTAGCCTTGTCAACTTGTAGTAGATCGTGTTACCGTGCACACTTGCCACTTTTACTTGTAATTTACAGCGTGACACATGTTTGTAGTGTAGATTATTAAAAGTGATGTTTGGTGCACACGTTCCTCTCACGTTTTCTCAATTTCTTTCAAAAGTTTGCTCTTTGGAACGTTAAAGTGAGCTGTGTTTACTTGTTATGTTCGGAGCCGACTTCTTTACTCTCCTATGGTTATGACAAGTCGGGATGACAAAGAATAACAATTAGGCCCCGAAAGGTGTTCAAATAAGAAAGGTAGTTGAAATAGGCTCCAAAATATTTACTTGGCCTTTTGATGGGACATATCAAGCTTTCAACATTTAAACCTACTTTAATATGCTTCAAAGTTATTTTGTAATCTTTAACTCATATTTTTACTTTATGACTTTGAACTTGTACTACTTTCAGCTTTACTTTGTTTCAAATGATTTAAAATTTACCAGTAGTGCCTTTCTCCCATCGTGCATTGTTCTGTAGCTCTCGCTTCGTGCGTTCGGCAGTCAAATTTCCGGCTGAAACGAAATGGACGGATATTAATAGTTTGGGCCTATGGGCATTAGACTTTCATGAAACAAATCCGCGCACCTTACCCCCTCGCCTGGGTGGTAGGGGCGGGCAGAAGCAGTCAAGGACACCACCACAAGGCCTACGGAACGCTGCTGAGTTGTTTTCGTAAACAATCCCTCCCAGTCCAGTCACCCCCCCCTTCCACTCAAGAACAAGATGAAATCCAATGTTGTTTTCACTCTGCCTCATAAACTGAATTGCCGCTCTCAAAATCCCCCTTAGGTCTAAAACAATATTGTTTCTCGCTAATTGTCTTCGGGACTTCCGACGGCTCTCAACTTCGACTTTTGGCCTACTGTAACCTAATTTTTGGGCTAATTTCGTTTGAAAAGTAATGCCAATAGTAATCTCTTTTTGCTAGGTTGTGTACATGGTCGTATGTTAACGTTGGGGAACGTATGTTAGGGGGAAGCATATGTTGTGTTTGTTTGATCAAAAATTAAGAAATATGTTTTGAAACGAGACTTTGAAACATTATTTGGTAACTTTTGGCTGTCTGAACATTATCTATAAATATGTTGACCACCTATTGTTGATATCATAAATTGTAATGTTTTGTCAACTTGAATTAGTGTCATTTCTCAATAACAAGCCTTTCCATGTTCAAGATACGAATGCTGTTCGAATCGTAGCCATTACTGTGACACACACAATAACCCTATTTTTGTTTTGATTCACAAAATGTGGTGTTCACAAGTCTTGTTTACTTTAAATACCCTGTTATTTTCGTTTACCGAGTATTCTGCGGTTTTGAAACTAGGCCAAAGCGGCGAGAAGGGGACTCGGCGGATGATTAGCCAAAGGCTTATTTTTATAGTGGGAATGCTGTCTTCGTGGTAGGAGGGCTTATATCTATATAAGGAAGTCTGACGTTCATAGCGAAATTCTTATGTTATGTCAATAAAGCCTAATACCATGTTTACCATAGATGAATTACTGTTTGTCAACTATTTAACACATATGAAAGACCTAATTCTCTAGTTTTTAATCTGATAATTGTGCCTATTACAACGTTTTTGGGAAAATCTGTTATGATTAGTGCTCTGTAACCGAATTCTTCACTATGCTCCCAAAAATGACACATAAAGCTGAATAAAAAAAGATAAGAGTAGTTACAATATTATTGTATGATATTAACCTACGTTCCTCTTTCTTTTTATAAAAACATATTTTTAGCTTAGAAACTCGGCTAAAGGTTTCTATTATATTAACTAACACGCGCTTCAACTATATTTAGTTCTGTCCATAATACGTAAAGTTAAAGCCAATTAAAAACCTTATTCTCTGTACCTTAAGTTAGCCTAAGCCTCCCGATTTCTATTGAAGCCAAGTCTTTTTAATTTAAGCCAATATGCAAATGCTTTCTTTTCCCAAACCAAATCCTTTCAAATCCTGACCTTGGCTGACTCAACCACTATGAATCATCAGGTTAACCAAAAAACAGCTAATCTTTGAAACCTCGGCATTACTCGTTAAAGCCACTTTGTTAGTTGTTTACAACAAATCCTTCGAGAAAGCGCGGCAATTATACTCTTTGCGTGTTATAAACAATACTTCGAATAACACTCTCGTGAATCATACATTAAGCAGCAGTATGGATTATACATGTTGGCTTATGAATATTGTGATCACTGTTATGACCTTTTAATGCCTTACTTTGTTGTTTAAAAGCTCAATCTCATATTGTTTAAGCCATACACTTAACTTTACTGCTCGCCATTTTACTACAAACTCGCGAGTATATATTGCCACTTCCCTCCATAACCTACTCACACAAACCTAAACCAGTACTATTTAGAATCAAAATGCTGCGATACTGTCTAGTGATGTTCCTCATCCCCCTGAGCACTTCTGCCATCAAATGCTACTTCGAGAGCGATCCCCTGACCTCAGTAGCCAAAGCCCTCGAGAATGGCCCCACTGATGCTAAAGAGTACGAATGTCCAGCAGCTGACAAATACTGTATCTACTTCGAAGGGAACGTGGAGTTGAAAGGCGAGAACCAGACTTTCAGCGTGAAGTCATGTCAAAGTGACATCGCCTACTACCTGGGACCAATCGGAGAGAAAATCGGCCAGAAAATTGAAGCCGAATGCAAGGTATGTTACGGTAAAATGCTTTAATACAGTGTTATCTCTACTTGATTACTCATTTAAAAACTACCTCAAACTATAGTATCAATACATTTGCTGCTGAATAGACAAAACATATCATAACATTAACATACGATCATTACAGGAAGCTGGAGTAAAAAGAGACAAAATTGGTCCTATTTCGTACTACTTTAACTGCTGTACCGACCTTGACTGCAAATTGGTAAGTCACCAAGGCTAATCATACACACTACTTTAAGTCTCACCCAAGTATCAAAAATCTACCCCAAGTTAAGTTTTTACCCCTCCCTAAAAACAACGCCCAATACCATAAGTTAACCTCCAAAAGCCACTATCACCTAAAAAATGAGTGAAACCCCTTAGTTACATAACCTATGTTAACTTTCAGAACTCAGCTATGTCACTTTCCACGTCCGGGCTTACGTTGATGACCTTATGTATGGCCGTTGCTGCCAAATGGCTCTTCTAAATACTGCTCAACCCGTCCTATCGTTGTTATCTAATTAACTATACAACAATCTCTTAAGTTTCGCTTTCCATAATTAATTTTTGTACAGGATTTGCTTCAATAAATAATTTTTATTGTATCAGCATCTACTATGTGCATCCTATAATACTTGTCGTACTATATACTATATGTATCCTACGAGACTTGTCGTATTCAGAAGAAGCGACAGTTAAAAGTTATATTGTCCTCAAGACAACTAATCCTTGGCCTAATTAGATTCCCCAAAAGTAATAAGCTGAGAAAGTAACAAAGACCCACACATAACAACCATAAGCACAGTAAAACTCAAAAGTAATGCCATAACTCACTTTGGAACCGTTGAGGCAGCACAACCAAATCCTTCGGATATACGACCAGTAGATTGAACAAGAACAAGTTGCCGTACAAGTGCACTACTGCCAGTACCACCAGTCCCAACGCCCAATGTCTGACCATGATTGAAGGTACTGTAAGTTTGGTACGAGTCTTTACTAAACGAGCTTTCTTGGGCGTAACGACCGGTCGATTGTAGACATCACCTTCACTGTCACTGTCGCCGACGCGAGGCTTCAAGAAGTATCTAGGCCTAAAACGATAACAACGTTAAGAGAATAACTAACCTTGAAGACTCCATTTTTGGAAAACGACCAGTCAATTCGACACAATATTACTCACATTTTTAAAATCAACAATTCGAAAAATACTAAAATTGTCGATCTAATACATTATGCGTATAATAACATTGTCAAACGAGTTAAAACCAAAAAAGATTTAAAATAAAATATTCAAAAAGCTTAATTTGCAATTCTTCACTTCAAACCTAAAACAACATAATTGTGGCAAAAGTTATCCAGCATTCCTCTGATGACTCATTAAACTAAAACAATGTCCTGACTCACGGCAGAAACAGATAAGTCTTAAACCTTTTAAGACAAGTACATATACAAAAAAGAGGGCTTTAAACAAAAATTCTGTTCGAATCGCTCTCTCTTTACTGTCTGTCGCTCTCCTCTCTGCCAATACTCTCGCGCGCCCTCTCAAATCAAGGAAATGCGCGGGGAAATGAAACAATGACATTTGCATATGATATGTTACAAAAATGTTACAAAACTATCAAAGTGTTATCACCATCCCATTAAAAAGATATTACAATAACAGTTCAGGCTGTAGCTAACATAAACTGTTGTGGCGATCTACAAAAACAGTCAGTTCCAAAAAACGTACAGAAGACACTGCTATTGATAAGGAAACCGACCCTCAAGCATTGATTAGACAAAAAACCAAAAATCGATTTTTGATTTTATTATAACGTCGCACCTCTTCCCTCCCTTAAGCAGCTCGGACTAGTTATCTCATTAAGGTAGTACCACCTTAATTTAAGCTCTTAGATCAAAGTAATATTATTTTCTCACCTGTCATACCCAATCTTGTGTTGTATGACAATTTTTCTGATCTAAATCATCTCGTTAGTCTTTACAGATCATTATTAGCTAGACTAATAACCGTGTTAAAATCTGTCATTGCTAGCTGATATAACTGATCTTTTTCAGGTTACTTAATCACAATGGGATCGTTGTACCGTTCCGAACTGATGTCGCTGTGTCAGCTGTTCCTGCAGACTGACGCTGCCTTCATTTCAGTAGCACAACTTGGTGAACTGGGCATCGTACAGTTCAAAGATGTGAGTTTTTAGTCAAATCTGATATTATAATACACAAAAGAGCCTTAAAACGTTTTTTTTATTATAACATCAGCTTTTCTTTGTACTATAACATCATCGTACAACCAAGTGTTTCTTTTAATTCTATAAAGATGATTATAGTAGAATATCGCCTTTACTGAATAACGATTTAACATTAAATTAATGTAATTTTAGTTGAACGAAAAAGTGTCTTCGTACAGTAAAAAGTTTGTAAACGAAGTACGACGATGTGATGAGATGGAACGACAAACAAGTAAGCCACCTTTCACAACAATATATATTGAATACATCTATGTACCACAATATGTATGAACTAATTACTTTGAAGTAGTATACTGTAATTATTTTCAGAAGTAATTGAAAGCGATATCTTATCAGCCAACATCTACATTCCTGACGCCAGAGACAAAATCCCGGCCCCACTACCTCGTGACATGAACGAGCTTGAAGTAAATTTACATCTCTTTCAATCCTAGTGGCTTATGTTCCGTATATTCAAAGCACCTCAGAGATATTATACTTCTACATAATTTTTAACCACAAAAATTGTTCAACTGTTACTTAATTAAAAACTTTCAGAGAAGCTTCGAAAAGTTGGGTGAAGAGCTAGCCCAAATTAAAAACTCGACCAACAATCTGAAGACGAACTATCTTCGACTAGACAACAACAGGAATGTCTTGAGGAAGGTCCAGATTCTGTTAGACGAAGTAAGTCGAAATAATCTTCTAAAATAAACCCCTTTTCTAAACATTTCACTAAATAAGCTCTTTTTAACCGTTTAAAGTCAATTTAGTTACAAAAAATATTTAAAAAATGCTATAACTAAACTCCTTTGACCAATATAGAGATTAATTCAAACATAGTATTACCTTCGTTTAGGGCCAGAAGAACCAAGCTCGTCAGTCGATCCTGGACGCTCAAGGACATGGCCCAATCTTGTCCAATGGTCATATCGGTCAAGAGATTTCAAGAGAAACCGGAGACCTCAAGTTGGTTTTTGATTGCAATTACATACGTAATATAAACACATTCATATATATATTAACATAAATGAAATGTGGGATACAGTAGATTTAAAAAAGTTACAGATTCATAGCTGGAGTGATTCGCCGTGACCGTGTAGCCGCTTTCGAACGAGTTTTATGGAGAATGTGCCACGGTAAAGTGTACATTAGAACATTGGACGTAGAACCGGAAGAGAATGCTCCATTTGTAAGTGCAATAACCTTACTAATTAGTATAGAATAGCAAACTAACTTATAACCTTAAGAAGTAAGCGAGTTCATACCTTGTTAACATACCAGCAAGATATCACACTACTTTAAGAAGGAAGACGTGAAGTACGCGGTGTTCTTGATCTTCTTCTCCGGAGACAAACTGAGAGAAAAGGTACTCAAAGTCAGCGATGGATTCAAGGCCATGGTGGTCGACAACTGTCCCGATTCCTCTGAACAACGAAAGAAACTACTGGTCGAAACAGAAGTTAGACTTCAGGATCTGAACACGGTAATCTACAAGACTTTGGAACACAGAGAAAGAGTTCTACACGCAGCTGCTCTTAACATCAGAACTTGGGAGATCCAGGTAAGACTCTTCTGATCATTTTTGGTTTTTAGGTAAAAAATTTGAAAAAAGCATTATTTTAGGTAACAAGTGTAAAAAAACATAATTTTAGGTATTAAAACTAAAAGCTGTGTTCCACACTTTGAATAAGTTCAATATTGACGTTACTGAAAAGTGTTTGATCGCCGAATGTTGGATCCCGAACCAAGATATTCAACATGTCAGGGCTTCCTTACAGTACGCTACGGTAAGTTATCCAGAAAATTTAAAAAATACCACTCACAATCTTAAAAACTATGAAAATAGGTAAAAGTACAAAAAACTCACGTTGTAGGACTTGAGCGGCTCCAGTGTAGCCTCCATCTTGAACATCGTAGAGACCGAAGAGACTCCGCCCACTTACCACAAGTTGAACAAGTTTACCAAAGTATTCCAAGGCATCGTAGACTCTTATGGTATCTGTAACTACCGAGAGATCAACCCAGCTCCTTGGACGATCATCTCCTTCCCATTCATCTTCGCTGTCATGTTCGGCGATGTTGGTCACGGTATGATTATGGCATTGGGTGCCATTATGTTCATCATCTTCGAAAAGAAGATTGAAGCAGCTAAAATCAAAGATGAGGTAAGTATTTACAGATTTAAAATTTTTGTTTACTTTTATTGATTTAAGACAACGAAGTGTCAAAATTGTTTTATTTGGTCAAAAAATATTTTTTACAAATTATTGAAGTAAAATTAAATAAGACATGAATTTAGATCTTCAACACCTTTTATGGCGGGCGTTATGTGATCTTATTGATGGGAATATTCGCCATCTACACTGGATCCATCTACAACGACAGTTTCTCTCGGTCGATCAATGCTTTTGGCAGTGGATGGTCGAATCCTCTCAGGTAAGAAAAGCAATATCTGCTTATGCAAAGTTTATGAAGTATAAAGTATACTTATAGTATATTAATAAAACTTAATATTTGTGTATGAACTGTAACTTTATATTTCAGCAAAGACAAGATTAGTCCTTTTCTCTTGAACAAAGTTATTAAAAACGAAGAAACATACGAGATAGCACCAGAAACTTCTTTCCAAGGAGAACCTTACATCTGGGGTGTGGATCCCATCTGGAATGTGGCCGAGAACAAGCTCAACTTCTTGAATCCCATGAAGATGAAAGGATCTGTCATTTTGGGTATCTCTCAGATGTTGTTTGGACTGGTTCTGTCTTTGCGCAACTATCTGTAAGTTTAAATGGAGAAAGTTTAAGTGAAATTTTAATTAAAAATAACTTTTTTCTAGCTGAATATTGATATCTAAAACTAATATTTATTTATTTATTTACTTTACATTCTTCAAGCGTCTATAATTACAATTCGAGAGATATAGATTAGATTAGTAGTTTGATGCCGTAAATTGTAACGTACTGTGCTGATGTGCAAGGATGTCCAAGGTTCAGATGAAGACCAACGGAGCTATCCTTGAGTCTGACGTTTCCCATAATTGGGCCTCTCCCCGAAAATGTAAAACATATTTTTAGGCACCAGAAGTCGATGATCGACGTCCTTTTCGTGTTCATCCCTCAGCTCTTGTTCCTTTCCCTCATCTTCATCTACTTGTGTATCCAAATCGTCATTAAATGGATCTCCTTCCCAGCTACAGCAGCCATGATCTTCGGCCAAGTGTACCCGGGTTCCCACTGCGCTCCGTCTTTGTTGATCGGGTTGATTAACATGTTCATGATGAAACAATTAGGTCCCGGGTTCGTGACAAACACTGAACTTCTTCCAAAGGGCGTGGATTACGACGAGTATGCCCAATGTTCTGTCAGACAATGGTACCCAGGACAAGCTGTTCTGGAATCCGTCTTCTTGGTGATCGCTGTTATCTGTATCCCAATCATGTTGTTCGTCAAGCCTTTTCTGTTGAGGAGGAAGGTTCAGAATGGAGAGAAGGTTGTAGCTCATCACGGCGGAGGCGATGACCATGGAGAGTTCAACTTTGGGGATGTTATGGTCTATCAAGCCATTCATACTATCGAGTTTGCCTTGGGATGCATCTCTCATACTGCTTCGTATCTTCGATTGTGGGCTTTGTCATTGGCTCATGCACGTAAGTTTTTCATTACTCAACGCTAATTTGACTGCAGTATGCATAAGGTTCATAGAAATATATTTACAGAGTTATCCGATGTTTTGTGGACCATGTTGTTGAACATGGGACTGACAACCGGTGGTATTGTGGGTATAGTAATGACTGCCGTTATCTTCTTCATGTTCGCCGTGCTCTCAGTCTCAATTCTGGTGTTAATGGAAGGTCTCTCAGCCTTCTTACACGCTCTCCGGCTTCATTGGGTAGAGTTCCAGAGTAAATTCTACGGTGGTAATGGCATACCATTCGAGCCCTTCTCTTTCCACCATTTGATTCGAGTACATGAAGGCCTCGAAAACTAGTACACGACGATTAGAATTTATATTTTTTGCATTTTGTATACTGTAATATCCAATTTTAAGTATAAACTATAATATGTTACCTGTTCTTTACACTAAACTATTATCTTTGAGTCCGAAATTTCTTAAAATCGCTTTATTTTGAAGTATTTGTTCAAAATTCATATTTAATTACCACTAGTACCTTCACAGAACGATATTCGAATGAATTTATTCTCAAATATAAATCTGTTAACTATAATATTAGATTTAGACACTCAGCACGAGTGTGAAAGAAGACGGCGGAGGTACACAAATGTTTGGTTTGGAAGTACAATTATGTTATGCGGATATAAGCTCGACCGGATACTGTACAGAAGCGAGCACGAACCTCGTAGATTATTATTAGACATCTAGTTAGGGGGAAACCACATGAAAGTCGAGCTCGCGACTAGCCAGAGGGGTGATTGAAGGTGGGGAACTCGAGAAACAGGTGGAAGAATGCCCTGAGGAGTCGGATCCGTTTGAAGGCCGTTTCAACATTCGCCGAAGCCGTTGTATCTCGTCGTTGGCTCGTTCGAGTTCCGTCGATAACATCGATTGTCTGAAAAGCGGTCGTAAACAATATGGAAGTTTAAAATGTCGTAAACTCAGTGTTAATCGTAATTTGTGACCTTGAATTACAAAAAATATTGTTTTAGTTTAGTTTTTACCAAAGTCATGAAATGGATTCTATTTTTGGTAAAAAATCTATTATTTTTGTGACATTTCGTCTCAAACCTGCAAACTGATTTTTGTTTTAGAAAATATTTCGTTTTTTTTGATAAAACGAAACTTGACTTCAAAAAACTAAACTCACCTCTGCTTGAGCTTCTTGATGTCAGTTTTACAAGTGACATTTTGTTGTAGTAGGTCGCTCTTTTCAGTCTTCAACCGATCCATGCTCACGATCAACTCTTCGAGTCGCTTCTGATCTTCTTGCTCGAGACAAAACGTGCAAACTGATCGATTTGACGAGGAGGAGTTATGTTGAGGATGATGGTGATGGAGCATTCCGAGGTGAGCGGTGTGCATGTCAGTCGACGACATGCTTTCCATGCCAGTGTCAGAATCGTGCTCTTCCATGTGATCTTCGTGTTCGAAGCTGGAGTATTCTTCCCAGTCAGTGCTTCCGTTCGGAGAGATTCTGAAATGGTTAATTTAGGGAGTGATATTTTAGGTTTCTTTAGTATTTTTAGTTTGGCTTGTTTTTCATTTAGGTACTGTACAGGGACGTCGTTTGGGGGGGGTGGTTCGGGGTGACTCCCCCCAGAGCCGATCCGAAAAAAAATCCACAGGACCTGTACGTGAAAAAAACGAAAAAAAAAATTTTCGAAAAATCGGTCCACAGGTAGCTGCTACCTGTGGACCAAAAAAATTTTTTTTCCCCCCCAGAGAAAAACCGTAGCGACGTCCCTGGTACTGTAAGTTATTCTATAGTTTCTGTATTTAAAAAAATCTTTAACTGAGTGTTTTGCCTAGGTTTTGTTATATTATAGTAGGTTAGCCGCTTACTTTTGTTGATATGTCGGTTGAACCCTTAAACCGGTTGGAAAGGAATTTTCCCCTGAGGCGGTGGAGTGATTCCTCGTCACCATGGCCTTTCCTGCTGCTGATTGTTTGGAGACTGACCCTTTATGTTGAGTTACGTCTTCAAAAGTGTCGTTCATCATGGCTAGCGATGGAGATGCTACCGTCTTTCTTCTGACAAAGTTGGAGGAGCCAGATGACGATGGAGATTTTCTTTGTGCCGAGAACGACGTAGAGCCATTATTGGCGCGAGAGATCGCCGGAGATGATATATGTTCTCCTAAGGCGGCAGCTGACAGCCGGGTGCTGCCGTGAACAGCTCCCATTGCGGTGACATCTTGTGAAACAGACCGACTACGACCACTGAAGGCCTTCTTGACTGAACTGAAGAGACCTGTTGAGCTGGTGGTGGAAGCTTGGGGATCTGCTGATTCTAAGAACGCCATTCCGTAGAACTGAGCACGTTCTACTAGATTCGAGTGTAGTCCGTCCAGAAGAGATACTCGAGTTCGTTCGGCCAATTTGGCAAACTTGTCGGCCTTGTAGGCAGCGTTCTCGGCGTTGATAAGCTTTGTCAATAGGAAGTTTCTGAAGTCGAGACCCTTCCTGAAGATGGAGGGGGCTGGCAGGGTGGGGCCGAAGAATGGGACGTCGTCTCGTGCTGTCACTGACACTCGGTACTTGGGGTTGTCTGTGCCTGCATCGATGGGTTGTACAACAATATAGGCATGGAGGAAGTTGGAGGCGATGAAGTCGGGGGAGAAGGGGGTGTTTTCTTCCTGGAATACGATGGCTACAATGTCATTGCCGATGTGTCGTTTTCTTTGTAGTTGTTGTGTATCTCCGACTGTGTAGGGTAACATGGTGGACACGTGGAACATGACTTCCTTCTGTCTGAACGATGTGTAGACAGACTCTGTACCAGTCTGACCATGTTGTATGTCTAGTCCTCCACGGTAGCCTTCGAAGTCTTTGAGTTGAACTCGGTCACCCAAGACTTCGAGGAATTCGGTGAATGACTGAGTAGCATTGGCATTTCCAAACAATTCTTCTTCCGTTGTTTGTCCAAACTTTTGATAGATCACTCCTGCAAAACGTAATAATTTGTGTTTAGTGGATATAACTCTAGATATCTTATCAATAATCCATGTGGCAGAGCACAAAAACCTTAAGGATTATATTACACATGTTTTCTTGTATATTTATAATCTGTTATATTTATATTATACAAGATCAATCAAAAAGTAATAAAACTTTAAAGATGTCATAAAACATACCAAACTTGTAGGTGTCAGTGATTACATGTTCGTCGTACTTGAGAATCAGTTCAGATCCACCGGGGAACGCTACAGGCGAAAATCTTTCGGTCGATATGTCTTCACACAGTAATCTGGCCATCCGACTAGCGGAGGGTTTGTCGGCCAAGGCTGAAGCCGGCACAATCTCGTGCACGGTGCCATTCCTCGTCCTCAGGATAATTCTGAAGTGGTCTTGGGAAGAGATGGTCTCAGTACGAACGGACAGCACCAGTGGCCCCAGTTTGGGGTCTTTGGCGAAGAAGTTGTGGTGCTCGCGGCCGATGAAGTGACGTCTGTAGGAGTGGGACGTGTCGTCAGTCTCGAGCTTGAATCTGGCACAACTGTTGTTCTGTTGGGTATTCTGGAGCAGTTCCTCGTCCATGGGAATAGGACAGGAACTCACTCCATCCATCCAGTACCGACCGTTCACTGGTAGTACTATTTGAGGATACGGGCCTCGTCGGCCGAGGATCTCTCGTATTGTGTCTTTGGTACACTTTTCCTTCACATTAGAGCTGCCGTCGTTCCTCTGAAAAAATATTATGTTAAGGTTAATATTTTGTTAGTTAATATTAATTATAAGTTATTATTAACTGTTGAAGCAGAGTTATTTTTTGTTTGTCTAGGTAAATTAGAATCTTATATTCGAAATATTTTTAAATTTTGTAAACCTTGAGTAACCTTGGTAAAACTTTACGTTTTTGTCGGCTAGTTTTGCGTTCAGCGAGGAACTGCGCACGGTACACCGCTTAACGCCATTAGACGGGATTAGTATCGGGGAACTGATCGAGTTTGACATTTCCCTTTTGTCGTTCCGCTTTCGGTTTCCGAAGAACATTCCCAATAAAGAGCCGTTGGAGTTGGGGCTGGCCGAGGATAAGGATGAGAAATTAATCAAAGATCGTCGCTTCGCCTTTCCCTCCTCTCTGGCCATCTCTTTTTGATGTTGTTGTAGGGCCACTTGCGCGTCCAGCATTTTGAAAGCGGCCGCCGCCATTTGTCGACTGAATTCGATGTCATCCTCCTTCTTCTGGTCTTCTGAATCCTCTTCGTCCAACGGCAACTCGCTGATCTTGACCAGCGGAGCTGGCCGCTGGTTGGTCAGCACCATCGACATGGGGCGACGGAACTTTACAGTTGGTTGTGAGGTGTTTTGTGTCAATGCTGGATGTTTCTCTTCTTGTTTTCGACTCAGTTCATCGAACGTTTCACTCATACGCAGTCGACGTCGAGTGGCTCTTGCTGCGGCATTCATTCGAACGGATCGACCGATGACGCCATTTGGGAGTGGATATCGTTTTTCCACCCCAATTGATTCGTCGTTGGTAGCACAGAACATGGTCTGGGGTCGGATCCGGCCTTCGCCTTCTGGAGACGTAATTGATAGTGCAGGTCGAGATCGTCGTTCGAATCTCCGTACCGGAACTGATCCACCTATGGGATTATGAACCTTCTGATCGTAGACGGATGAGGCAGGACGTTGACGATCTCTTACCGACCGGTTGATTGTCTCATCTCGGTTAACGTACAAGGGTATATGTGAAGATGATGGGGTCGCGTTCTCTCTGGCACACCGAGCGATCTCTCGTGTCGGGCCGCGACGCATTTGAACACGTACAGGTGATTCGTTACCTTGGGGCTCTCGAGCCTTCAACGTCTGCGACGTCCAGGACAAGGTGCCCGCAGATGTTGAACATGTGACTGCAGTCATAGCTGACGTAACCCTCTTACATCTGTAACAAAGAAATCACCTCGATACCTCGGCCGCGTTTAAAAATTCATAGGCCACACATGTCGGGCATAGAATGGCAAAGAAACGGAACCAAAATTCTTAAAGTGGACAATTCGCGCTTACGGCGACAAATTTCTCCCCAGAGGGTTTGAAACAACAGTAAAGGAGGAGGAAGGATCAACTCCAAAGGTTTTGACAAAAAGATGAAAGTCACTGAGGCGCAAATAAAAATGACTAAGAAACGAAAAAAGATGATAACAGCTGTGAAGGGCTGATATGCCGTTCTCAGCGAAAGTGCGACCGGCTCGGGAGGGGCTCGATTAGAAACATTCCCAACAATAACAACGAGTAGCCCTGGGATAACAATATCGGGTTCTGAGTACCGCGTCTCAAATTACTGTAGTTCTGTCGCAAAACCGTCAGAACCGCACAATCAAAACAAATGGTGTGAAGCCTATCAGACCCTGATGGATGGGGCGAGTGATAAGACCCGAAACAGTCGCTACTTTTGTAACCCTTAAAGGGAGAACAGAACTGAAGATTCGGGTCAATTGTTTAGACTGCGGAACTCACAGTAGGGGGCAGTTAACGGATCGAACTTAAAAGAGCAGTTCGAAGGTGAGGGAAATAAATGTCCGGAGAGCCCTTCAAACTCCTCGTAAATCGCGCGACAAACAAGCAACCCTTTCACTGACTGAATCATGGATAATATATCCTCCTATGCAAATCCCCGGGCCCGTTTCCCAGCCGCAGATGAGGCGGAAGAGATTGACTGCATTGCATAATAATAAGGACGGTGTGTTACATAAAAAAAGGGTATAAAAAGTGGACGATGTACTGAAAAACAAAACCGGCTGGATATAATATTGTTCTCCCCACTCCAAATGGACAATGGAATCGAAGCAAATCGAGACCAACAGAGAGTGTAAGATCAAAGTCTGACTCATAATTGGAATGGAATTATGTTGGACTTGATTCAGGCCAGCTTACTAATTGAGTGACGTGTAGGCGGGGCATGGTAATTAGGGTATTTAAACGAGGAATGTTCACAATGTAAGGAAGGGTGTGAAAAACAAAGAACACTCATAACTATATGTAAAAGTTGAGTGAATATAATACAGACATCTATAACAATATCACTAGTCTATAACAATATTAATATCTAATAAGACATGTGCAAAACCATCTCATAAACCATATGTAGTACCATAAATAAAGTAATGAAGGCCGTTCATGGAAGCGACGGCCTTGGACGCTGCGACCACAGCTGGCGCCGTCCCCAGCCTCAATGAACACCTTGAACTCATCTCAACTCGATATCAACCAACCGGTTTGGAATGGCATGGTGAAAGTTGCGAGATCAAGTGGATGGAAGACTCGAGATCTCGAAAACAAAAGTGCGTTGGAGAAACCTTGAAACACCTTCTGATTCTCCGATTTCCAACGTACACAATGTTATTGTGTTACTGTTCGATAAACACAGCCGATTGATAACCAGATGCAGCGCTTAACTTTGATGGGATTTCGAAGCAATTCAAGAGCTCATTAAGTATACAATAAAGTAGCTACATCAATCGGGCAGTAATCACCACAGTAAACACTAGTGCAAAACCTGTTAGTGAGCCGTGCTCTGTCTAGGGTGAGGAGAGGGGGTAGACTTTATTGTTATCAAGAAAGTAGTGATAAAAGTGTTTTTGCGCCAATATAAGAAAGTATTTAACCCTGATTTTGTCAAAAAGTCTATAGAATCGCCTTTTTTATAACAATGTGAAGCCTTCAGTAGTTTTTCCATATAATTTTAGACCGAAATAACTAACCAACCCACCACCCCCTAATCAAAAAACACAAAGATGAATCAGGAAATCAAATCTGATAAGCATTTGAGTCATAAGGAGATCAGAGGGCACCAAATGACAAACCTAATGACAACATAACACGACGTTATCGAAAGTGCAAATCGTTAGGTATCAGTTCTAAGCTCCCCGATCATTAAATCGAAAGTTAGAAGCGATCCTGAAGGAGAAGGTAATCGATGAGATAAGCGAAAGCAGGTTAACGCCTTCAAGATGCAAACCTCTCGAATGCTTTGGATAAACACTCGCTACCTTGACGTAGGTAGGCCCATGGATACTCAGTAAACACAGGTCTAGACTGGAGTATACGAGGTTTACTTTGAGAGTATATTATGGTCAAAAAGTAAATAGAGAATTCGAAAATGGATCAATCAAGATAAAGATTCTTTTTAAAGGTTTAAATTGATTTTTACGCATTTTTGACTAATAGAATGGTTAAAAACGACTATATATGGCCATAACCAACAGTAACAGAAGATAGCTTTAAGATATTTGATAGTAAGACCGCCAAGAATAACTGTAGACCCACAGTAAATGACAGTAAACAAAAGAATCAAGTTGAAGTTAAGGAAGAGACGCCACTTGACTTTCTCTCTCAAACTTCGTTCAAACTTGTTAAAACTGGTAACAAATATTTATGTAAAGAGAGAGCGACACGACTAATAAACAAATGTACACATTCGTCGTATTCGAAATGGAAACACAAAAGCCGAATTAAAACCAAGAATTGATTAAAATTTTTGACATTACATAACAATCGGAGTAAACATTACCATGGAATTACAATATCGAGCTTTGGCCTTGGAATCACTGCGCTATGCTATATTATACTATGCTATGAACAAAGACTATGTTTCTATAGAAGATTGAAGACATGTTTCTGAAAAATGTAGCAAAATAACTACACAATGCATACTAGAGAAGATACCAATCTTTAAAAAATACACATACAACACCCCCTTCAATCAAATATACAACCCTAAAGTTTACCACACCTTCACATAGCCTTAACCTCCAAACCAATATGTTCCCGGCGTTATAATACAAACTAAGCGGTATTTGAATGGTCGGTGTGATTATTATGTATACCCAAATTAGGGCGCCAACCGACTTCAAGGAAACTCTCGGGATCAAAGCGACGTCAAGGTTGAAGTTATATTATACTATAGTAACGAGGAGGGGTCGCGTCGCAAACCAGTAATTACTTGTTGCAATTCATTAACGTATACCAAAAAACCCCAATTGTGTGATTTGTCATCAGAATTATTGCGGTAGCGCTGAATTATGCATAATGTAACTGTTGGAGGTGGCTCTGGTTATTAAGGTATGTTGGTGGGTTTTTGAGTGGATAATGTGTTATGTGTTGTGACCATTATTACTTTTTTATGTACCTTATGGGTATGATAATACCGAACTTCTTTCCATAAACTTATGAATACCTACATTTCATATCTACTACAACATATTACCTAAACCATGGTAGATGACGTACCTTTCGTCACCGAATTCCCCAAATTCCCAATAAAAACTTGTTGATTTGCACTTTACGTGGTAAATAGCCGTACAAATACATCTGATTATAATATATAAATAAACATGACTCAAAATAACTCTGCTGCAAGATATAATACTACAACATAAACAATATACTCACCATATCCGGCATTTCACATCGTTGATCGTCCAACCTCTGGCTTTGCATGTGCTCCAGAAAGTTCAAGAACTCGGCGGACTGTAAAGGTTCAAATTATATAAGTTGTGGCAGAATGCCAAATTACCCGCGAAACAAGAAATTCAAAAAAATTGTTGCAAAAAAGTATATTTTAAAGTAAAAATGAATAGTAAGCCCCCTGAATGATATTTCTAGTACCTTAACCCTCCCCCTACTATACAGTACCATGTCCCATTTACTACACTATATACACAATCTACTACCCTATATATTACTATACCCCACCTTTTGATCCTTGTAAAGCCGCGGCTGGGCGACCGGTGTGCCCTGAGGGCTCATGCTGAAGAAGGACGGCGTCTGACTCCAATCTTGAGCATACGACTGAACACTGTAGAGGTCGCAATGTGCCGATGTGCGTCTGAAAACAAGATGACACATTAAGACATTAAGTAAGTGAAGATGACATTAACTCCAGCTCTAATGCGGTAACTGGATTACAATGTGTTTAGAGCCCAAGTAAACAAGATACGGTGAGTTAGCTGTTGCAGCTTATAATGTTAAGTTTTAAATTAGTATTTTGACATTAATTTATAATATAATTTTAAAAAGACATGTTACAGTAAACTTTATAAGCACAAGTTTAAAACATAAAGAAAATTAAATTAATTAGTGTTTAGATAAGGGAGGCCCCCAGACATTTAATAATATATTATTTTAGGTATAACAAGTGAAAGATTGAGAAAGAGTAAGATGAAATTGACGTTGATGACTTTATATTAAGCATATGCTCTATTTATGTGTTTGTTTATACGTTCGAAGTAAAAGTTTTGTTTTTGTAGAGTAAATAGAGCGCCAAAGTCCTCGAGATATAATTAGCCGAGTCAACATTAATCACAATTACTGAACTTCAAACGATCGTATCTACTGTAAGATGATGCTTACTGGGGCAGTAACTATTTTACTGTATAAACAATTTTTAATTTTTAAGTTTACTATAACATAATTAACAATTTTAATAAAATCTACTTATCACTTTTACTATACTTATCAAAACATCCAGAGATCAATATAATTTGCGAAACATAGCTAATCCTACCTACAATAATATTACAAAGAAGGCCAACAAAGCAGTAAAACCTGCCATAAATCAAATATTAAAGTGTAACTTTACAGTAAAGGAATGCACGAAAAACATAAAATACGAATCGAACGTCGTCGCCTCGGGGGATGTCTTGAATAAACAATAAAAGCGATAAAGGAGTGTGGCCAGCCAAAAAACAGAGCCGATGGCAATGCAATTGGTGGGTATTGACCGCCGTAATGGGATTTGGGTTTGCCGCTTTAATCCCACCACAAACCTTGAAATAAATTTGGGCTTCGGGAAGAGAAAAGGGCATCTGAATATGATTAAATGAATCTCGCGCCTTGCGGTGGGCTGAGTGCCGTACAAGGTCGCGACTTTTAGCCCCTCTTCCGGCTGCCTCAAACTGGCGCACCGGGCATTCTAGTCTCTAATTGTCTCGCTAATTGCCTCAAGGCACGGTCGTGAGGTTTGAAACTGGGAATTCGGATGATTCAAGAAGATTCATTTCGAAGCAATTGTACTTATAAGTCATCAAAAATATATTTAAAACGTCATTAAGTTGGATAAACTAAACAAAGTCATTTTGAAAATCCTCAGAATAGTCAAATTATCAACGAAATCACTAACAATAAGCAAAACTTCAAAAAATGTAAAAAATGACAAATCAGAAGCCTACGTAAGCCCATAAACTCATGACAAAAACAAACCGACTTACTCAAAAGTGACTAAACTTACAAATTAAACACGAAACCACGCTAATATAGTAAAAGTAGGCAACCACTTTACGTATTACTACCATATGACAACTTGTTTAACCGAACTCTCGAGCTACGTCACCAGCTTACACTTCCGTTTGCCCAATTAGTCGGACAAACAGCCTTAGGGTCAGAGCGAGACTGGCTACCTGTTTTGATTGTAAAAGACTGTCGAAATGAGAAGAGCGGTCGTTACAAAGTTACTGAGCTAAGCGCCTGAGGAGCGACGTCAAGCTGGGAGCGATGCCATTATACCCAAATCTGCATCCCCCGCTGGCAGCACTAATCATAAAAGCATCGGATTCGTTTACGACTCCGGCTTCGCAGTGTAAATAAAGGCCGGAATGTAGTCATGAAGGCCTTTCACGAACGTCGTAAAACCAATAATGGGTCCCAGGTGCTGTTTATGATGTGTGACCTTTGGGATAAAGGAAGCCGGTTGTCAGGATAATGCTTAATGAGCTGAACCCCATTATGCTATTCTGGGGAGTTACACGTAGTTTCGGAAGATAGGACATAACCGGAAGACTTTAAACTATTTTAAAATCAAATTCTCAAGGAATTTAAACCCCTTGTCTCCGTAGAACTAGAAAAAGTCTAAAAAGACATGACAATACAGACATTACTCATCCATGTTTACCTAGACAACCGTCGCATGCCATCCACAATCACCTCCTTGGCACTGCGTTTGGTGTAGCGCGAGGGTCGGCGCATGATGACCCGGATACCATCGTCGTCAACTTCCTCCTCCGTCTTCAGAAGTTTCTTGGCCGAGATCTGACGCTGGACTGGACTCGTGGGCATTTCCACTTCTTCCACGGTGGAAGAATCACCACAAAAAGAGCGTTTCGCGCACCACAGCGGCCGATCGGTGTTGTGTTCGAGAGCGTGGTTCCAATCAATTCGCCTGATGAAGGCTTTTGACCCGACCCGCCCGCTCTTCCCGGCAGCCTGGCTCATTCATGGGGGGAGGGGGAGGGTGAGTTTAAGGGCCAAACGGAATTAAGAGCGTTCGATTGATAAGTGGGCTGTGGAAGGGATTAATAGTTAAAATTAAAACAATTGTTGCCTCCGGCGATAAACAACAAATTTCACTCTTTCCACTTTCATAAAGCGCGCACTGATTGAGGATATTGGATTAACAAATGCCGAAGGCAATTAGGAGGTCTAGAACATAAGCTTATGCTTAAATAAGATCAAGAAAGCTTAGACAATAAAACTAAAAATTAAAATATTAGAAATAATCAGCTTAATATTAAGAATATTTATTTTTATATAGTTTACCAAACCTAAAAGTGCAAACAGAACGATCATATTATTATAGAAAGACATAAAATTTAATAAAGAAAGATTTGTAAAACAAGATGTAACAGCCAGTAATCTTAAAAAACCCTTGATAAAAGTATTAAAAATAATTTTTTGTAGAATGCCCTAAGGCAAGACAAATAAAGTGACCGTTTGTGCAGACAACTTTATAAAAATTCAAGAGATTAGGAAGACAGAATGGCCCCGCCGAGTGTAGAAATAAAATTTGACCGGAAAAAACTTTACATTTGAGGGCGGATATGTCAGGATTCAGAAGCAGATAAGACTTTTAGATGTCTACCATCAAATGTATAGTCGTTGTCGTATGTTAGTATTATAAAACATAATATATGTAAGTATTGTTTACTTAATACTTTAATTTATAACTCTGAGTAAAAGTTTTGTTTATAACTCGTTTCATAAAATATTAAATTGTCCGAATAAGACTGAGCCAAAATTTTCAGAAGTTGGGCGCTTTGAATGGCTCATCCATATTTGGATAATCTGATAGTTAAAGTAAAGTAAACCTACTTGTTCTTGGGCACCGGCTCGGTGTCCACTCCAGAAGTGCCAGAACAGGAGCACATCCCGTAGAAGACGTAGTCCTTCCACGACCACATCCAATCCATGATTTGCTTTCCTGAATCCACCTGAACTGATACGATCTTCAGATAAATTCAGGGGAAACGTCCATCCGATTACAATAAAAAACGCTGCAAATGCGACAAATAAGGCGGCTCCTTCAAAAAACCCACGGAAAAGGTGTCAGAACGACAAAGGGAGTAAGGGAACGATCACGAAGGCCGTGCCATAAGAGTACTCGAGCAACACAAGAGTAAGATACGATGTTTGTTGAGAATGATTCAAATATCGCGAAAACAAAACCATAAAAATGCAAATTTTATGACAAATCAAGAGAGTATTGGAACACACGGTTAAACATACGAAACAAGGTACATTAATATAAAATGGTTTGAAATGATCAACAAGTCAGAGAACATCACGTTTAGCATAATATACCTCAATGTAAACAGAACAAACAAATCATTATGCTTATATAAACCTTATACATTAACAATACCTTAATAAAAATACAATATAAAACACCTTAGCTTAAGCCTAATATTAGACTAGCCCACTCATAACAAAGAAGCCCCCAATAACCTCAGAACTCGTCCGATGTTGCCCATCAGATAAACCCCCTAAAATGAGGTAAGGATTTATCCAAGATGGTGGGGATAATTCGAGAAAGCGCCGATATCGAGAGCTGATAAGCATTTAATGAAGACGGCGCAAAAAACAACACTCCACAATCCCATTGACATATTAATCATTCGCCGGCGGTGTAGAAAAAGTTCCCAAGTTTCCGGAAAAGTGGTATATATTAGGATTCACACAACCGTCGTTAGAAGCGAAAGGAAGGTGACGGAGACCTGTCCGAAGAGTTATGAACTGATAACGAGGCTTGCCTTACTCGAACAACAAATTAACATACAGTTTTTACGTTAAAAGTTAGTATTTTGGGTTTAACGGGCTTTTAAAAAATTTAAAACAAACTTTTGAAACTAAAAAATAGGGGTTAGAACTTAAAATATTGTTCTAAATATCATAACTTAACTGTAAAATTCTTTTATCGAAAAAGCAAACCTTTTAAAAATAATTAAAACTTCATTATGAAAGATAAAACGCTGATTTACTGCAAGATCAATACAAGTTAAAAAATGCAATAAAATCATAATTAAAAAAGCCACACAAGTTCAAAAAGTAATCAGCACACACCATCATAACTCTTGAGATACGAAGACAATAACCTATCATATTGCGCAATAACTGACACAATCGATGTGACATTTTTGTCATAAAAGGATGTGACAAAAAGCACTCTACTCAAAACATTCATATTACGAATACAATGTAAAGATGACTATGTACACTATAAATAGTCATCTTCAGACACCACCACATCATTATATAACCACTATTACATAATACGTTAACGTATTCATTGACACTTTCCGCCAACATGTTCTCAACGTATATTCAACCTTAACCAGTAACCCGATGTTAACTAAAAGTTTTTTGGATAGCGATCTGAGAAGACAGCCCCCCCCCCCCTACCATTACAATCGGCTTACGGTCGTTGACGGCTTTGTTTGGCGCTTAAAGCCGCTCGGCCGGGTCTCGCTTCCGCGCACCTTTCCACGCCTGTCCTCCGGCGGTCAGCACGAAAGTAAATAAGCAACTTGTTCTAATTAGCTCCGTTTTCAGAAGATATCCGAAAAACGACTGTCTCGCCTTCTGAACCCCCACTTCGAGGGCTCCACGTTCTCATGTAAATTATACATTCAGGGTTTGACACATAACCGATTAGTCATGGTGGTTTGGAAGTGGCAACAACCTCAAAAAGCATAAAAGTCGTATTTTATAAAAGGTTTACATTATCAGAAAAGAATTTTATAATTATAAAGTTGTGTACGTCTTAAAATTACATTAAACATAATAATTTAGGTATGAATAAGACCCCTCTAAACCAAAAATTCAAAGAATTTGAATTCAAATCAAAAATCGAGAAAAAATAATATTGAACTTTATATTAATAAAGCACTTGAAAAGTAATTAAAAGCTTGAAATGACAAGAAATACGTGTATCACGAGAGGCAGTTATGTGTAAGATACGTAGCCAACTTCGTACATTGTAAAATTACTGTGTAATATAACCCAAAGTTGTTTTTCGCACCTTATTGTTAACGACGGCTTACTGTACATTGATATTACGATGTATAATACCGTGATAGTATTATACAGTATTACGTACAATAAAAAACTACAGTAATCTTTAGTGAAATCCACAGTAAACTTAGAAATAAAAAACTGTGAAATATCGCTAAAAGATAATATGTCATAGTAAAAAAGTAACATGTCATGGTAAATTGCGTAAAACTCCTTTAAAACCAACTTTCAAATTGCAAACCCTTTTTTATGAAAAATGATCTTTAAGTCTTGGAGACCCAAACCACCCTCAATCCCGAATAACATGGACAATCAAAAATAACTACAATAATCCTACAATGAACTAAGAACAAAGCGCGCTGATAATCAGCTAACATAATATAGAAAACGTGAGTGATTATGACAACAAACCTCATCTTCTCGAACAATGAACTGCTTCACCTCTAACTCAAGTTGTGTGAAGGAAGGAAAAGAGGGAGCGAGTAAAGTTAACGAAGGGGTCATGTGCATAGGATAACAATCATTCCCTTTTCGTTTGATCTTGGGATAAAGCAAATAGGTGCTGAACTGCAGTTAATTACCGTGTTAACTGACTGTTTATAAAAGTAACAGAAGAAGTTACTACTCAATGTTACTATCAGTTGCAAGCCCTTGTATGAAACAAAAAACAGCCTCGAGGCATTGAAAACCGGAATCGGTTTGGTCAAGAAACGCCTTCAGATGAAGAGAAAACGAAGGTGTTGTCTTGATTTAAGACTAGCCCTCCTCTCGGCCAGTCATAAACAGCAGGACACGTCATGCCACAAAACGTTTTCTGTTAAAATTTACGACATTCAGAAAAAGAACAATCGTAAGAAACGGCTGGCAGCAAGAACAATAAAAATCGTACTTTATATCACAAATCTGCTGATAACAAACTGTTTTATTAGCCAAGCTTTCTAACATTTGTCATTTCAAAGCCTCTATTTAATGGATCAAGCTTAAAGATACCAAAACTTTTAGTACAAACCTGCCATTACTGTTATATTATAATAGCCAAAACGAAACAATTTGCAATAGTCTATAACTGGTTACTAAATAGTTACTAAATGCGGTTGTAAAAGCGAAAAGCGATCAGAGAAAGCCCACGAAACCGGCCCCACTCATAATCCTTGATCAAAACGATCATCTCAGAACTGAACATGGCTTAAGGGAACCGGAGCAGGTGGTCACTCCCGCAAAAAAACAAAACCAAAAAGTTTAAACGAAGCGAGGGTCAGTTTGGGTTGGCCGACCTTCGACTAAAATACTCAAGTTGAGTATCAAGGGGATCGCAACGCATTCGAGAGATCAGAGCAAAACAGATTCTGCTGCTTCTGAAGCACCTCACGCTCCGACCGTCGCGATTCCGTCAGAATGAGCTACATGCTAGAAGCAGACCTTCAAATTCTTGAAAATGAGCTTAAAAAAGAAGGTATAGTTTTAAAAATAAGCTAAGATTGTTATATAAACATTAAAGTATTGCTTTTGAATTAGGTTTGGCTTCAACTTTAGAAATCGTAAAATAATTTTAAAAACTTTGAATTCAACTTTGGATACCTTATGAAATGACTAAGTTGTATCCAAAAGAAAAACGAGAGTTATAACCTGTACAATGTTACTGTTAGTTGGCATTCAAGTGTCTCTCCCTTTCTCGATTGACCTTTTCCTCGATAAAAACGCAATTTCCTTTTTTACAAAAGAAAAGCAAGTTAAAACGCTGTTACTGTCAAAAAAGACTGCATTCACACATTACAATGACCCAGTTCAGATCAATTATCTTAACTCTCGCAAGGCTACACCGATTGTCAGAAACCATATCAAAGCAGAAGGAGAATATCAAAGACTTATCACAAAAAGGACCTTGAGCAAGGTTTGATTAACAGTTTAAACGCTTTACTACTTTAAAACACCAAGAATAGTGTCTAGCTACTTTGAAGGTAGGAGAATTGAAAAGATCCCTCATCAAAAACGGAGAATTATGAGAAGCGACGCCAAATGTTTTTTGAGAGATCCGAAAGCTCACGACCTGTGAAATGCCCTAAAGGGATTCGCATTTAAATCAACGTTTAGTTCGAGACTCTCGTCTTAACTGAGCGATTGAGGTCACGATAAACAAAGGCTAAGTGGACACGTCCCTTCCGCTCGTTTAATACGTAGGTAATGCAAATAAGGCACTAATAGAGAGGAACGGTTATTGTTCGTTAAAAATTTTCACTATTAAGCTTTGGTATAGTAATTATAACGAAAGTTTAAATATACAACTAATAGAGCCGAATAAAAGCTGAAATAAACACCAATTCAGAAACTCAGATATTTAGATAACAAAAAAACCAAAAACCTCAAAAAACTAAATAGATCTGTTTAAAAGAAAAATATGTATTTAAAGATCAATATGTGTCAATTTAAGCCCAAATATGCACTAATATTCAGCATTAATCTAACACGCAATAATCAGATCAAAAATTCACCGAATATCTATTCAAATCTTAATCAAGTCACTTCCCATCCTCAAACATCTTTACCTATTCCAAATTGTTGTTGTTCAAAAGAAAACATGCTCGTATCTTTGACATTGAATTTGTAATTTCTGTTTTAGATCAAATACTGTTTTATAATTAGCTTTAAAGAGTAGAAATAACAAGAATTTTACAATTTCTAAACGTATTTTTAGCTCAAATACAAAAACAACGTTTGAAGAAAGTGTAAAAATGTAAATTCTATCACTATCTTCTACAAACACGACAAATCTCGACGTTTTCGGCAACATATACATCAAGAAGCTTCTTCTAGAAGCAATAAAATTTTGGTAAAAAAGAAAAAAATAAAAAAAAAGTTTTTGAACGCGTTTTTTCCCGCGCTTTATTAATTCGGATTCGAT